GCGAGACCCTCTGAGCCGGCCCTCCAAGCCCTGAGCTTCCAAACACAGCCTCCTTGCTCTGTGTTCGATTTCGGGGTTCCCAAGCCTCTAGCGCTACCAGTAGGACCGGGTCCCCAAGTACCACAAACAGGCTCTCGGGCCCCTGACAGCCACGGCAAGCGCTTCTCTCCCTGGCTCAGGACAGACCTCCGACCACCCCGTGCACCGGGCAAGCACCTGCGGCATTCCTGGTTCTCTCTCCTCCCCTTGCCCCCGCCACACACACCAGCTGATCAGTTATTCTCGCCTCCTGTCCGCCCCTGTGCCTCACCTGTGCTTCACGGCCAAGAGAAGGGCCGCCTTCCTCAAGTCACTTGGCTGCCACCTGCTGGAAATTTGTCAGAATGGCCCTACAAACCTCGGCCGCTTGGCCGAAGCCGAGGCGCATCCTGGGCTTGTGCAACGTGCTGCACATGCAGCCGCAAGCGTGGCCCTGCCTGTCTCTTTACTTAGACCCTGTCTCTCCAGCTAGACTGAGGGAGTCTTGAACGTTAGGACTGCTCCTTCCTCCATGTGTCCCCAGTGCCCCAGAGGCTAGAGAGAGGCTTGCTGAATGATCCTGAGGCAGACACCTGCTACCTTGGTGCAGACATCAGGTCTCCCCAGGCGAACATTCTCTAAATGGCATCTGTTGCACACAGCAGGGCAGCCGAACTCCCCACAGGCTGTCAGAGTGACCGTGGGGGGCCCGGGGGGGACTTGCAGCGAGACAGAGCCCTTCTAGCATCTGGCCTCGGACCACCAGCACCTGGACAGACCAGAGCGGCCCCTCATCCATTCCCTCCGTAAGCCTGGAGCCGCCACCAGCAGCGGGCCACCTGCCATGGCTCTCGGGGCTGAGGCCTGCAGCACGTCTGTGCCCCCAGCGGCCCGCGAAGGCTGTGGGATGCAGCCATGGCCACGCAGGAGCCCTTCCTGGGGAGCTCGGGGCTTTGGGGGGAGCAGATCGGTAAGCAGCCAGCAGACAGGGTGATCAAGGATGCCGATTTCCCCTTCATGGACATGCACCATCAAAAGCCACCACCCCAGGGCCATCTGGGGCTTCGCAAGGTGGTCTGCACAGGACTCCGTCAGCTGTCCCAGCCGAGGGTAGGGACAGGAGGGGGGCAGGTAGGGGAGGGCTCCTCATCCCCCTCCTGCCTTCCTGGGGGGCTGGGGAGGGCCCGAGGCAGGACTGGCAGCAGTGTGGCAGGCAGAAGGGACCAGTGTGGAGCCAGACACGTCGGGTTCCCGTGCCCACTCGCTGTGTCATCTATGGCCACGCAGCTTTGCCTCCCCAGCGCTTCCCTGGAAAACTGGGAGAGTGATCACAGTAGGTTATTGTGAAGATAAACTGGGCCAGGGTGAACATATCCCCTTTCCCTCCGCCTCCGGGCCTCCATCTGCGCTTCCTCCATCCAGCCAGTGGGGGTCAGCTTAGGGCGACGGATAGAGCCAGCGGCAGGAGCCAGGGGACCACCGTCCCGTCTGTCTGGGACTAAGGGGTTGTCTGGGGGTTCCCGTGCAGAAGTGGAAAGGTCCTAGGCGACGAGGGCCGGTCACCCTGCTGACACACACGCTCTCCACCTCCGCGCCTGCAGCAGCGAAGGGTTGCTTCTTCCTCCCGCTGGTGCTGCTCATCCATCCGGGACCTTGGTGAAAGGAGCTTCCAGCCGGGAGATTGCCAGTCTTGGCACAAAGGAACTCACGGTAAAAGTTCTGTTCCAAAGTCGAGGCTGTCGCTCAGGCCCACAGGCATCGGTCCAAGGAAGTCATCAGGCCGGGCCAGCCCCCGGGGGGCGTCCTGCAGACTTGTCCTTGCAGGGACACCACCAGTTTGAACCGGGGTGCGGGGAGGAGAGAAAGCAGAGAGAGACACCCGTCTGCGATCGGTGGTCTTCTATGTGGTCACCCTCCAGTAGATGACACGTGTGCGTTTCTTGTGGCTGCTCAGCCTCACCCCGCCCTGCTCAGAGGGGCAGCTGTGTGTGTTTGGGTGACATCCGCAGCCTTCTCAGGTGCAGGGGCAGCCCGGGCTGGGACTTAGCTCCTAGCCCCGCTACCCCGATCTTCTCTGTGAGCCCCTGAGATCCTTCTCCCTGAACTCCGAGGAGCACGAGGGGACTGTGGAGGCACCGAGGGTACCACCAAGTCCTCCCCGGGCACACTGCACGAGTCCCTTCGTGCTTTGCTTCCTCTGACATCCAGGGAGCTTCCCCCTCCTTTGGAAGCCTCCAGCTCCGAAGTGGGCACACCTGTGGCCCCCGATTCCAGGCCCACAGGCCAGGCTCTCCCAGGAGCATCTTCACTGTGTCACTCAGATGGCAGCACCAGGGCTGGCCCTGAGCTCCCCTTGGCAAGGACGACTCTCCCAGTTCCCTGTGGCCTCTTGGAGCCCCTCCCCGGGCTCAGTTCTCTTTGGGAAGTAGCTCAGAAAGAGAGGGGTTTTTGTTGTTTTTCTTTTGTTGTTTCATTGTCTTACGTCTAAGAACACCGTCTTGGAGAGAAAACAGTTTTCCAGAAATACTTGTCACCGCTGATTCAGCTCCCTTACTTTGCCCAAGCATATAAGAAAGGCCTTCTGATTTTTATTAAAAAGATTTTACGGGGATTCCTGGGTGGCTTAGTGGTTTAGCGCCGCCTTCGGCCCAGGGCGTGATCCTGGAGGCCCGAGATCGAGTCCTGCGTTGGGGCTCCCTGCATGGAGCCTCCTTCTCCCTCTGCCTATGTCTCTACCTCCCTCTCTGTGTGTGTGTGTGTCTCATGAATAAATAAATAAAATCTTTAATTAAAAAATATTTTACTTATTTATTTGAGAGAGCATGAGTGAGGGGGAGGGGCAGAGGGAGAAGCAGGCTCCGCGCTGAGCAGGGAGCCCAGAGACCGGCAAGGCCTTCTGATTTTTTTAAGAGTTTATTTGTTCATGAAAGACACAGAGAGAGGCAGAGACACAGGCAGAGGGAGAAGCAGGCTCCACGCTGAGCAGGGAGCCCGATGTGGGACTTGATCCTGGGACCCCGGGGATCACATGCTGAGCTGAAGGCAGACACCTAACCGCTGAGCCACCCAGGTGCCCCAAGGCCTTCTGATTTTTGTTTTGTAAGATAGAGTGCCAGGATTTATGTTAGCATTCATTATGTCTATAAAGGAAACTTGAGTATTGGGACAATTGGTCCAAATAATAAATTTTACATGGCGTCTGGCACTGAGAGCCTTCCTCTAAATTTTGGAGCCATGGGGGAGAGAGGGTGAGGGGTGTAGTGGGAGCACCCTAGTAGTGAAATCATGGGGCGGGGGCAGAGGGCCACAGGTGCCAAGAGAAGGCTCAGAGCGGCACGGGGAGAGCCGGAAGGCTTCTCTGAGGAGCTGCCACGTGGGGGCAGTTGAAAGGAAAGCAGGAGTCCACCAGGTGCCCAGTGGGTAAAGGGAGCCACACCTGCAAACGGCGTGGGCATAGTTGAGGCCACGTGTGCTTGAGAACTTACGTTTCCGGTGGCCCAGAGAATTGGGGAGCAGAGGGCGCGGCAGGGTGCAAGCGGGCCAGCCTACCGTGGAGGCTTGGTGTGTCCTGGCAGGGAGCTTCTGGAAGGCTCAGGGCAGAGAAGTAAAGCCCCTGGAGTGTTTAAGTGAGGGGGTGTCCTGTGTGTGACCAGAGCAGCCTGGATGGAGTCGGTGGCCAGGGGACAGAGGGCCGGTGGGGGAGGGGAGGGGAGGGCGCCCGCCTGGGCCCTGGATTGCCCGGGTGGGTGCCGGGTGGGTGCCGGAGAGGAGCGTGGGGCGAGTGTGGGGAGGCCGGCCGAGGCGGGGCTGCCGGTGAGCTCTCGGGCAGCTCGGCCCGGGGGCCTGGGGGCCGGGCTCCCAGGCCGTGTCCACACTGGCTCCCGGAGGCAGACCGCAGGGGGAGGGCGTCGGGAGGACGTCCATTCGAAGGCCTCGCAGTGGGGAAGCCGCAGGCCCACCGAGGCCGCGGGAAGCAGCCGGGACCTTTGCTTCAGGGAGGGTGACGGCGGGCTGGCTGGCTGGCCGTCTGGAGCGGAGCCGGGAGGTGACCCTGTCCTGCGCGGGCGGGGACGGGCCGCAGGCCGCGCGCGACTCGGAGCCTTCTCACCGCCGACCGTGCCCGCAGCTCGGGGCCCCGGGGTGCCCAGAGCTTCCAGGCCCTTCTCTCCAAAGGCCTCACTTGCTCTCGGGTGCCGTGTGCGTGCGTGTGGCGGCTTAGTGTCCGCTGTCCCGGGGCCCCGCGCCTCCGCCGGGTCACCTTGCCTGCTGTCCCCCACCCCGTCTCTCTCTGCCTCGTCCTCTCCTGTAGGTGAAGGCCAGAGGATCTGCCTCCCAGAGTTGTGTGCGGGCCCAAGGCTGTGAAGCAGTAGGGACCTGCAGTAGGGACGGTGCCTGACACCCAGCACTCCCTCAAGCGGGCGCTATTATTTTTATTGCCTGACCCAGGAGGAGAAATGAAAAGTCCAGTTGTCTTCTGTCCCTTAAGGCCGCATCCAAGGATCCACGTCTAGTCCTTTAAAAAGCAGTGTCTTGGGATCCCCGGGTGGCTCAGTGGTTGAGCATCTGCCTTCAGCCCAGGGTGTGGCCCTGGAGTCCCGGGATCGAGTCCCATGTCGGGCTCCCTGCATGGAGCCTGCTTCTCCCTCTGCCTGTGACTCTGCCTCTCTCTCTTTCTGTGTCTCTCATGAATGAATAAATAAAATCTTTTAAAATAAAATAAGTAAATTAAGTAAAAAAGCAGCATCTTCCACAGAGAAGCCCTCCCGCGAGCTCCTCCACGTGTTGGCAGGTTAGCTGAGCGGGCGCCAGCGGTGAGAACGTGAGCCACCAGCCTGGCCGCCTCGAGCGGAGCCAGTGGGTTGTGTGGTGTATCTTCCCCCAAGTGACCTGTGTGGGTTTTCTTTCCTTGTGGGCCCCGCTGTAGGTTTTGGAAGAAGTTGACTGCCTGAAAGGAAACTACAAAACACGAGACTCGCTTTTAGGTGACCAATAAGTCCCGTGGCCCCTTGCTCCGCCCAGGGTGAATCTGAGCTTTAAGAACTGTAACTTCAGGTAATAAAATCACACCCCCAAGTCCCCTCCCCCTGCCCTCCACACCTGACATCGTTGGCGGCTTCCATGGTAGTTCTTTCAGAAAGTGTGGTTTCTCCCAGCGCCCTGAAGCTTGGGGTAGTCCACCTCCTGCAACTGTCTGGCTGCTCGAAAAGAGGGAGTGGGGGCTAGAGGTAGCACCGCCGTGTCTGCTGGCAGCCCAAAGGCTCACCGAGACCCCGAGGATCGGGCTCTGTACTCCTGATATCTGTGATAACAGCTCCTAGCAGCACCTGTCAGGGCTTTCGATGTGATTACATGATTATAGAACACTCCTCAAAGAATCCACTGGAATAACCTGGAAATTTCTGAAAATGAAAAGTCTGAAGAGGAAGCGGGTTTGTTCTACCTAATAGTGGAAATGTATTATGAGGCCACAATAACAAATACTGTGGTACTGGATTGGAAGTAACTAGATCCAAGGACCAGAAGAGGAAGTCTACAAGTAGACGATAAATCCATAAAGGTGGCATTTCAGATTGGTAAATGGTGTCGGTACAGTTACCTGTCCACTGAAGGGCAATAGGTAGGTACCTCCAACCGTAGGTAGTGTACCAGAAGTAATTTCCAGATGGATTAAGAGCTAAGCAAATCATAAAAATATTAGTAAAGAGGATATTTATAATTTATGGTGCAAAAAGGCTTTGAAAAAACATGTCACTTCTAGTATCACCTATAAAAACTAAGCAAAGTTAAAAGGCAAAAAGGGGGTGGGTATTTATGACATCTGTGACAAACAAGGAATGAATATCCCAAATATACGAACTTACATATTCATTCAACACCTATTTGTTAGGTACTTACCATATGCTAGAAAGTGTTCTAGGCCACTAAGGTGCAAGTAGTGAACTGAACAAAATGCCCACTCTTCTGATGCTCCTAGTCTAATGGTCTAATGGAGAGGAAGCTAGTAAATAAAGAAGTAGATTATTGCTAGGGGCTATGGGAAAAAAATGAAGCCAGGTGGGGGTGGTTAAGGATGATTGGTCCTGGTGGGGTGTTGTAGTATATGGATATTCAGAGAAGCTTCACTGCTGAAGTGACATTTGAGCAGAAATACAAAGGAGCAAGGAAAGAAGTGGGAGCTGATGGGATTTTCTAACAGGTTGGGTGCAGGTTGTAAAAGGAAGCAAGGAGTCAGGATGACTTCTAGGTTTGGGGCCCGAGCATTCAGATGTGAGCATCACCAAGGGGCTTAGCTCAGGGAGAACCAGGGGGTTTGGTTTGGACGTTTCAGTTGGAGGCCTCTTGGCCGTGTAAGTTTGGAATTCAAGAGCAGTCAGGCTGGAGGGATAAATTTGGGGGTTCTCATAGCATAGATCATATCTGAAGCAGCAAAATTAGACCTCTTGGGGAGTGGGTATAGGCCGAGGAAGTCCGAGGACATCTGTAGGACCCTCATGTAGAGGTGAGGGAGGAGGAAGCACCCACAAAAGAGACCCGCAAGGAATGAGTGGCCACTGAAATAGAAGGGGACAATGAGGAGGTGGCCTCTCTGGAGCTGAGAGACAGCGAGGAGGGACAGATCAGCTCTAGCAGATGTCGGGATGGGGCAGGTATGGAGGTTGGAGAACCAGCTACCAGACTTAGCAATGACAATGACGAGCCCACTGGGGCACCTAACAGGGCTGTTCCATTGGAATGATGGGGACAAAAGCCCAATTTGTGTTGCTTTATAGCAAGGAAGAGGAAAAGAACTGGAAACAGAGAAATGGGGGTACCGGCTAGAAGGGAATAGAGTTCAGAAAAGCGTGTGTGTTTTCCCCAAGATGAGAGTTGTTGTCCATGTTTATCCAAACCAGAGTGACCCAGTAGGGTGGGGAAAGTGGATGGTGCAGGGTGTGTGGCAGGGAGAGAATCCTGGGGCAATGATCTGCCCTAGTGAGAGGGGGTGGGCCAGTGGATGTGCTCCCTTTTCTCCATGAAGTAGAAAGCAAAGTATCTGCTAGAGGGAGGATGGGGAGCTGTTGGAAGCTTGAGGAGAAAAGAGAGGGTATGACGTGCTTGATGGCAGATGGGGGAATCCACAGAGCAGGGGAGCCAAGGAGCAGCGGGCAGCACTGGCATTGGAGGTGTGCGAGGAGGTGGATGGGAAGGGAGAGCAGCCGGTTCACCGTGTGCTTCTCTGCCACCAGGTTCCGGTGCCCAGGTGAACATGAGTTAGGAGGCCCATCCATACTGAAGAAAACGTGGTAGGAAAACAGGACATGAGTGGGCAGAAAGGAAACCAGACACATGTCTATAAACATAGGGACACCATCCGTAATCATTTAAAAATGCAAGTAAAAACCAATGGGGTTTTGTTTTTTCCTTCGGATTGACAGGAGCTCTTGCTGGGGATAGAAATTATTGGAGCTTTTCAGCAGCACAGTGTTCCAGAATGTACCAAGGCATATTATGTGTGTTCCCTTTTGTCCTGCTTTTAGACATTTAGATGGAGAGATAATAGCTCAAGTGCCTGGAGTTAGAACACAAAGATGCTCCCTCTGGCTGTGGTTGTGAAAGTGAAAAGTTGGCGCACACCTAACCTGGTGCACTCATCTGTGGGTGGAACAGAAATCGGGCAAATGAGCTCACAGCCCCCTCTTGCTTTGCAGATGAAGAAACTTGAGCCCGGGGAGAGGGAGTGACCACCCCAGTCACCTGGTGTGGAGCTGGGACCCCCGTGTGGGTGGGCAGCGCACGGCCCCTCCCTCTTCGACTTGGTTTGGAGTTGGAGTCCCTTGCAAGGTACTCATCAGCCTCTTTTTTGGGCCGACTTACCCCACGCTTATAAAATGTGGGTTCTCAAAATGTTTTGCAAATTTGTCTGCACTATCTTTGTGTCATCATGCAGGTTTTCCTTGCAGGGGATGCTGGGGGCAAAGGCTGGTCAGGGCAGTCAGGACAGACTTTGCCTGGCCCCGTGATAGACGGGGGACCATATCTTCCCCAGCTCCCAAGAGAGACTTACGGCCGGAGAAAGGATATTTTCTGCTTTCCAATGACTTTTACAAGAGTTGTAACAAAAACACAAAGATAACGAGTGAATCATGTTTATTTTATTGATTGCAAGAAAATAAAATGAGAGCTGTCAGAGGATATCTGGTCCCCTCATGGGAGGAGCACTGGGCCCCAAGCCCATAGAGCCTTGGGTTCTGGAATCGTTCTTGCATGCCCTAGCATGGGCACCCAGGAGAAGCCACCCAGTTGCTCTGAACTTTGTGTCTTCATCAGAGCTATGAGCAGGTCAACCTCCGTTCTCTATGCTAACTCCTAAAGCACATCCTGTTCTCGCCAGTCTGCGGTATCCCTACTCCTGCTGCTGGGTGGGAGCCGTGTTGACGCAACAGCCCAGTACCCCCCTCTCCACCACGTTAGAAGGATGCCTAGAAATCACCTCTGTGCCTCCTTGTGCCAGTTGCAGACCTCCAATGGCTGACCAGAGAATGGACATTTCTTCGACAATCAGTGACTTCATGTCCCCAGGCCCCACCGACCTCCTCTCCAGCCCCCTCGGCACCAGTGGCATGGATTGCAACCGGAAGCGGAAAGGCAGCTCCACCAACTACCAGTAAGGCCTTCTGGGCTCCTCTTCCTCTGCCTGAACTTGGTGTCCACTCCTGGCACACTGAAGGGCTGGCTCCTGTTCCTCCTGGAAGAAGGGGTCCTCTTTGTGGAAAGGGCTGGAAATGAAAGCTACAAGTCTAGGCGGCCATACAGTGGGGTCTATTGTTGTTGTTGTTTTTATCTTCCCACTGGATTGCAAGCAGGATGGAGCCTCCAGCACTGCTGAGGCACCCACATCCCCCCTCCTGTCCCCAAATTGTCCCACATGAGGGGAAAAGGAAGAGCCCTAAAGCCAAGGTCTACCTTTTACCGTTTCCTTTGTCCTCCTTGGCTCCCTTGAGCCAGCTGGCTTAGCCCAGTGCAAATTTGTCCTGGGTGTAACCTCATGGTTTCAAAGAGAACTTTGCCTGAAGGCCTCTCTGGGGAAGACCTCGGTTGCTTAATTGTTTGTGGCAGGTGTGAGTGCAGGTCCTCTCCGAAAGCACCGTAGGAGCATTGACGCCACCCTGAAACATTACTCCAATTACTATGTACCTGTTATATTAAATAGTATTTTTGTTTCTTTTTAGACTTGATGACTTTTCTTTTGAGTAAGTAAATTTTCCCACTTACAGTCCACTCTTGTATATCTGTACACACACCTGGGGGATAGGGCGCTGCGGAGAACCTTCTAAGGCATGTTTTGTTTTGTTGAGGCAACTGTGTGCAATCTTATCCCGACGTCCACTTGAGAGGTTTTCTTTTGTTTAATGAGGGAAAAATCTTCAAGGAGGTGTCTCCCCCACAGCAGATGTCCTTTCTGCTGAAGTTCACAGGTCGAATTTGGGGAGCACAGTGACCGAAGGTCAGATGCCCACTAGGAGATGCTATGATTAATGTGTAAGTGACCCCAGATGATTGAGCAGGCGACTCCCAGGGGATGGAGAGTGGGTGTGAGGCCTGAGAGGGTTCTTCTGGACCAGTCCATCCCCCACAGGGAGGCCAGGAGTTTTTCCACAGACCTCTTGTCTTGAGCAAGTTCTCGTGGAGTCACCGGTGCACCGGTGCCTTCTAAGACCTCTGCGATCTAAACCTGTGGTCCCCTGTTGGTCCCCACCCAAGACCTCCAGGTTTCCCTCATGGACCCCTTGCAAATCTTCTGTGATTTGTGGAGACCATATTAAGCACCCCTAGCCCCCTTCCCGGTCATCTTAATGTGCTGAATGCATCTGATCTGTCAGGCAGAGCTCTCTTCACCTGAGATGATGATCCGGGCCTTGGTGAGCAGATACGAGCCAAGACAGAAGGGGAGGGAGAGCTTTCATTTTCCCCTGTGGCCTGAATGGTTTCTCTTCTGTGCTTTAGGACTAGCTGGAGAAGCTCTCTGCCTGTGAGGCAGCCAAGGGCTCCTGGTTGTGAACCACTGTCCCAGAATGCCCATGATGTGATTTAGTGCTCCTGAGAAAAGTGGCTTTTGCCCTTGAGGCTCCATTGCTTGAAGGGCCATGTCCCTCTGTTCTTCCCAGACAAAAAAGGAGAGGCTCAGGTGCCAGTCAGGGCCCTCCTGCTGATAAACTTAGGGGCGGAAGAAGGGTGTGGGCTGACCCCAGGGAGATTTGGAACCCCCATCTTGGAGGATTCTAGTCTGTTTTCTGTTGAACCATAAAGTGCCATGAAACTGGGACCTCTGGAGTCTATAAAAGGGAGGTAGATCCCTGCCGTGACCCCAGGACGCTCTGCGGCCCGACAGGGTTCCATGCCCCTTGGCCCCACTCGTGCCCTGGATCCCAGCTCCTTAGGCCGAGGAGGTTCCCACCTGGCTGAGAACCAGAACACTGGGTATTAGTGCCTTTGAGAAGCTGCCTCAGGACTCCTCTCAGTGCTTCTCTGTGGGTACATTCGCCTCCCCACCCCCGCCCCCCACCAAATATGCACATGTATATTTGAGGCTTGGTATGTTCTGCAAATGAATAAACTCCATTTATCCAGAATGATGGGAAGAATGAGGTATTCTAGTTACTTGGATACTCTGATTAAGAATGTCCATAAAGGGATCCCTGGGTGGCGCAGCGGTTTGGCGCCTGCATTTGGCCTAGGGCGCGATCCTGGAGACCCGGAATCGAATCCCACATCGGGCTCCCGGTGCATGGAGCCTGCTTTTCCCTCTGCCTGTGTCTCTGCCTCTCTCTCTCTCTCTCTGTGACTATCATAAGTAAATAAAAATTAAAAAAATTAAAAAAAAAGAATGTCCATAAATGCTGTGTATTCCCGATCTTCAGAATATGGCCTAAAATATTACCAAGCAAGCTCTGTTGATGACCATATGTAGCTTTTGCTTGGTCATCCAGAAACCCGGTCCTAGTTTCATAGTAGGTGCAAGTTGTGTGTGTCTGACGATCCTGTGTCGATAATCAGTACCGTGGCCATTTGAACATTCTGACTATTTGGTTTCTGGATAAATGAGAGCCTTCCGTGTTGTAAGAAGCTGCTTCGTATGTCTTGATTCACAAAAACTCACGTTCTCTCTTGTTTTTTTTTTTTTTTTTTTTTCAGAGAAAGCATGGACACAGACAAAGACGACCCTCATGGAAGGTACCATGAACCCAGTCGTGACCTTCATCCTGCTAGCGGTTTTCCTTGCATAATTACGTGTTCTGTTAGTTGGCGCAGATCTCACCCATGTCCTTGACTGGGGATAAGAGGGAGGCTGTGAGCCGGGGAGTTCAAGATGGTCACCCCTGGCCCCCGGCGTAGCTAACAGCAGGAGCCCTTGTGTGTTGAGAGAGAGGACAGGGATTAAGCTGGGAAATGAATGAAACTGGGAGGAAAAGAGAGCTGTATAACTTTGCCATTAGTCTCCTAGGGATCGTGTTTTATCTTTTCCTTTTTTCTTTCTTCCCTTCCAGGTTAGACTACACAGAGCACCAAGGAAGGATCAAAAATGCAAGGTAAGGGCGGGCCTGTCTCTAAACCATCCTGGCTCTGGGTGTTGAGAGCACGGCTGAGGTGGCTCTGTGTCTGGTCCCTGCTGGGCTGAGCATCCTTTCGGGGATGGGGAAGGTGTTGAGGGCCTTCGCTTGAGGTGGCCGCCTGCCCTTTGTCCCCTCCACACTGGGGTGGCCTTCGCTCTTGGCTGTCTAAGCCCATTAAACCTGAAGGGGCCCTTGGAGTAGCAGGAAGTCCTTCACGGCTGAAGCTTTTCCCCAGCTGTCTTCAGCAGGTTGCCGCTTCCTGACTCGAGGGCCCCCAGAGGAGACCTGGCTCAGTGACTCCGTTCTTGGGCTGGGCCTCCCCTCTCAAAGTGGCCCTCCCTGCACTGCGAGGCCGGACATGGGGGCTCCTTTGAGTAGATTCTCTGACTCGGTCCTTCCTGCCTCCAGCCACACGTGCTGCCCCCATCCACGTGGGTCTTCCACGCTCCTGCCATTAGCTCTAGGGTCCTCTGAGGCTGTCATGCCATAGAATTTGACTGACCTGAGACTCCTGGCTTCCCCCTCCTGCACAGCCTAGCCTTGGTGGGGGGTCCTGCTTGGTGGCTCTGTTGCTATGGCAGCAAACTGCGTTTCCAAGGGTGATGTACCTCCATAGGGACAATCACAGTGGCAGGTACAAAGTAGTCGGGGAGAGTGCGTACCTGTGGAAGCACCCTCCTGCTTTGCTGCGTGGCCACGCCGGGGAGGGAAGAGTAGAACATTCTTCAGAGGAAGCTCATTTTTCAGAGGAAGCTCTCGGGGACAGATGCAGCATCTGCTATATCTTGGTGGGGTCGTGGTTGGTCCAAAGATGGCAGCATTGGTTACCTAGTGACTCAGTCAGTGAGTCTCTGACAGGTGCACTGCGGGCTCCTCACAACCTCAGAGACCACTTCGGGATCACAGGATCCCCCCCAGTGGCCATTCCAGAAGCTTCACTCTTTGCAGACCCCACCTCCCTTCTCTTTCCTTTCATGCTTACCTTAAAATGCAACCTCACAGAGGCTGAGAGGAAAAGAAATGAGAAATTAGCCATCCAGTTTGCTCTGAGCAGACAGTTTTGGTTGTTTTGTTTTTGTTTTGTTTTTGTTTTGTCCTATTTCTCCTTCGTGCTAAGTATGAGGGAGGCCTACAAAACCCCAGTAGTGACCCCTGGCAGGGAGGCCACTATTTTGGTGACTAGTCAAAAAGTCTAGTTCAAAACCTGGTGCACGCTGTAAAGGTGGCCTGTCAGGGGAAATGTCAAAACCAGTTACGGCTTATTTTTGTCGTTTCCCTGAGGCTTGGCCTCATTTTATAGAAGTCGTTTTTCCCCTTGTTGTGCAGGGAAGCTCACAGTCAGATTGAGAAGAGGCGTCGGGATAAAATGAACAGTTCCATTGACGAGTTGGCTTCCCTGGCGCCCACGTGCAACGCCATGTCCAGGAAGTTAGATGAGCTTACCGCGCTGAGGATGGCCGCTCAGCACATGAAGACGTTACGAGGTGAGACCTCAGGCTTCATCTTCTTTGTGACCTTGTCCACACATGTTGCCTCCCTTGCCTCAGTTGTGCCTGAGTCCCCAGTACAGTGTGTGTCAGTTGACAGATGTGCAGCGTTGAGCAACAGGCCTAGTGCCACGTGGGGTGATCACTGAGCTTACATGGGGTCCGGTTGGGGTTTTGCAGCTGTTCCTTCCCCCGCCCAGGGGGTAGAGGCTGCGATGCGTGCCCGTGTCTGCACGTGCCTGTGATCCTCGGGCGCTGTGTGTAGCTGAGGGGGGCCACACATCTTGCATGTAGGGGGGCCAGGGCCCCGGCCGTCAGAAGGACGGGTGCACCTAGGGATGCTGGGGGGGTCCCTTCCTGTCTTTCAGAGGAAAATTCACCATGGCTCCTTTAAGGAGTGAGTCACCGGCTGGTGGTTGGTTCTTGCTGCATTTTGCTGTCAGGGATGAACACTGATGGTATTTTCATGTTCCTGGAACATTCCCAAAGCAGATAGAGTCTTCACGAGGGAGGCAGCGTCTTCCTTCCTCTCCGAGCGCGGGGCGGGCGAGCACGCGGGGCAGGAAGGTGGAAGTGGCGCTCCGGTGGGGCCTCGGACCCTCAGAGGGAACTGGAAAGTGGGTGCTCAGTCCGCTTCAGACCTCTGACCCGCGTGCTACAAGGATTGTGTCTTCGTGTTTCCACAAAGCCACCAGGAGGGCAGAGTCGCCGGTTTTGTCTGACTTGCGATCCCCCATTCAGACCTGTCTGCGTCGTGTCCACTAGAATTTCCTCTTAGTGAAGGTGATAGAGATTAGGTTACTACAAGCTAACTTTTTTATTAAGTTGGAAGGAAACGAGTGACACATCTCGAGTCATAAAAAGCCGGGCTGTGGCTCAGCCTGTGCCTGGTTAGTTGATGTGAAAGTCCCAGGCACATCTGTCACCCTCCTTCCCCGTGTGCTGTGAATCATGGACTTTTTCTGTTTTATTTCTTCACTGTTCTGTTTTTGCGGATTCCAGGTCATTTGCTGCTGGCATTTTTCTCTTACTGTTCTCCGATGCGATGCCAGACTGATGCCTTTTAAGCATCTTGTCCCCTCTCAGCCCGAGGACCCAGAGCTGTAGTCACTTAAGTGATGCGTTTCTCTGGGTTGCCAAGCTCATTTGCCTTGCCCGATGAAGAAGCACTCCCACCAGATGCCTTCTACAATGTATTTATTTACTCAGGGCCTGGCAGCCTGGATGATGTCCCAGGAAGGCTCAGCGTGACGATTGGAGGGACTGCTGGTCAACCCATTTAATGTCAATCTTGGGGGGAGGGAATCCTCCCAGGACCCTCTGCCGCTTGGCTTCTGGAGCTGCCTTCTCTCTTTGAAGCAGATTTTTCCTTCTGTCTGTTACCTCTTGGCTCCCCTCCAGTGGCCAGAGCAAACTCGTTAGGTCCCCTGTGGACAACAGTGTTGTTTTTTCAATGGCTTCTGTCCGAAGCCCGATCTAGCCCTGTCTCTGTTAAGGAAAAAGAAAATAAGATTGAAGTTCCAGGTGGCAGGGGCCAGGCCGCATCTGGAAGGGTGGAGGCGGCGAAGTGGAATGAGACGTTACCTGAATAGAAACTGGACCAACTCTTTCTCTTTTCTTCTCCCTAAGGTGCCACCAATCCATACACAGAAGCAAATTATAAGCCGACTTTCCTGTCAGATGATGAATTGAAACACCTCATTCTCAGGGTATGTCGCATTTACGAGCTTGTTTTGTACACACTTTTATGAATTTCTGGGTGAGGTACCAGCCTGTGGGAATTTGATGTCTAACCTTTGGACCTTCTGAGGCCCCTCGTCTTTTGGGTCTCCACCTCTGTCTGTTTGTCTGGACAGTCTTCACATTCTTTCCCTGAGGTCTTCCTCCTCCCCTTCCATGCTTGCTTAGACAAAAATGGAAGGCCCAGGCTACTGTGGTTTTTAAATAGAAGGAGGCAGGATTTTGTTAAAAATAGGTAGTGAAGAATCCCATTCCTGCATGAAGGCTTTAGAAAAGGATGGACATCGATAATTGAGCATTTGTCGTCTTCTCACTTAACTGCTGGCACAAAAACATCCACATCTACCCTTCCACCAAAACCCCATCAAAGCAACAAAGCTTCCAAAGACTCCTCTTGCCAAGGAGGAAAAGAAATGGGGGACGCAAGGCTCTCCCCTCCTGGCCGTAGCGCTCACTTCATCTTGCTCCTCTCTGCGGAGAGGCCATCGAGGTGGCGCCATGCAAACTTGGCTTCCGTGTGGGATTGGGTCTGCCTCTGGGTAGAGTGAGATCAACTTGGAAATCGAAGGGAAAGAAACAGGATTCAGAAACCTGTCCTCTTGCAAACTATAAAAAGAAAAACAGAAAAACCTAACTGAAGGGAACTATACCAGCCTCCTTCCCCCCACAGCCAGGGTGGACCTTGCTTGCTAAGCCCCTACAGTATCTGGGCACCTCTCTTTGAGCTGACATTTGCCAGGCCTTGGGACAGAGCCCACTCTGTTGTCACCCTGACTTTCAGCTCTGCTGGGCTTCCGGTCCTTTGTACGTCTGGCCTGTGTGCTCACTCCAGCATTCTCTACCCATCCCTGCCTGGCGTGTTATCTTAATTGCAAAGCTTTCAGCTGCAAGGAACAGATGACCTGATGAACAAATGGGGTTTTGTTTCCCAAATATAGCTGGTCCTGGGGTAAGCCATGAGGGGCTGGTGGCTCCATGAGGGCGGCCAGAACCAGGCTCTTCCTGTCTTCGAGAACAGTCCTGCTGAGCTAGTGTACAGCTTGTTTCCTCAGTGTAGCCATGCTAGCCAGACACAAGGGGCAGCACAGTGTCTAGCCCAGCTGTCCCTCTTCTCAAGAAAAGCTGTGCCTTCCTGAAAGCCCGATTGTAGATGTCAGCTTCTCCAGAAGATGTTACCTGATGACCCCTAGCTTCAGGGCAAGGATTTAGATTTTTCCCACCATCATAGTAGAGGCAGGCGAGGGTCCCCCATCAGCATTTGCCACACACACTTTCCAGAGCCACAGTCATTTGCTAGATTTTCCTCCAGAAGTGGCTCTCAACACCCAGTACAGAGCTTCAGCTGTGGTCTGGTTGGCCTGGGATTGAATGGGCCTGGTGCCTTCCTTGACACAGAAGTCATCCTATTAGTGCCATGTTTTGGGCCACTGTGATACCATCCCTCCCATTCCTGTACATGGATTATTGTTAGGTCAGGTTTTTTCCATCCTGTATAGGTGCACTTCGGTTTTTTGAACTTCTGTTTCTACCAAAGTCTGTCTATTGGGTGGCCCTATGTTCCAGGTGGTCATTAGTGATCCTTCGAAGCTGCTTGCGATGGGTAGATCCCACAGGCAGGCCTGGTGCGTCTTTCGTTTTTGAGACTTAGTTCTGTATGCACGGCCCTTGGAAAATCCAAGTCCACAATAAACACGTTGGGGGCGGGGGGGGCGTCCCAGCAAGTTTGAGATGGTCCTTGGGCTACCTCCCCCAGGGCACAGTTACTCTGACGCAGCTCTGCACTGCCCCCTCCATCCTCCTTTCATAAGGCTGGCCCGGTCCTCAGGGGGGACCTGCTGCAGTTAAGCTACTAACTGTGTCGGCAGCAGCTCTGGAGAAACCACCAGGGCTGGCTTCATGGGCATGCACCCTACGCAGCCACACGGGGCCCAGCGCTTGTTTTAATGTTCTGCTCTTGCTGTCTGGAAGATCCTGATTTTTGAACCAGGGCCTCTGCATATCCATTCTGCACTGGCCCCCGCAATCCCGGGGCAGGGCCTGATTGCCGTACTGCTGATTGGACGTCTTTAGGGAAAAAAAAATGAATGTGTGCGTATACACAAATGGATTTGGTTTTGAACACCTATAAAGTGTACGAAGCCCGTGTTCTCTATAGGTTTCTCTCTGTATGTATCGTTATAGATCTACATGTAATATATAAAGATCTCCCTTTGCAACGGCAAATGCTTAATAACTTGCTCTCTACTTTTCTGAATTTCCTGTCACATGCCCACACTTGCCAGGGTATGGACCAAGGATTTTCATGCCATTTAAGCTAAATACTTCATCTCAGTCTTGCCTTTCCTGTGCTTCTGCATCCTGCAGCATCAGTGGTGCTGGGTCTCCCCCGATGAAACATCTCTGACCCCTACCCCAACCCCGGCACCTGCCCGTGGCCATGAGGCACCATCTAATCCCTTACCATTCTGGGAGCCCACTTCCCAGAACTTTCCTGCACAGACAGCGGGGGCCGCTCAGGTGGTGTTGGAGGGGTGGGCAGCAGGAACTGGACTTGTACTTTTCTTCACCAGTGCAGGTCTGACTTCTCCACCAAGAGCTTTCAAATGGCTTCGGCAAGTGGCATGTCAGGGCCAGCCTGAGTGCTCTACCTCCCATGTTCGGAAAACTAGGCAGGCACCCCCAGAGCTTCGGCCTGCCTCCCCCGCTAACCCTGTCCTCCCCCACCAACCCTGTCCTCCCCCGCCGGTGAGCCCACGGCACCCCACCCATCTCCACTTGTGAGGCGGCCCCTAGGCCCTGGCTCCTTCACCTGGTGGCATTTATCTGCCCGGGGGAAACAGAGTCAGGATGTTTGGAGCCTTCCCTGTAGGCTGACAGGAGCTCACTCTCTCGCCCTGGATGGATTGCAACCCACTTTGTTCCCGTCAGGGGTTCAGCATTCCCTCCAGCATGTCGCAGGCACCTCTTCCGAGTCACCTACCTTTTGTGCTGCTTCCCTGCACCAACGAAAGCCTCAAGACACTTCTCATGTTAGATGTGAGACCGTCTGCAAGGCGGTGTGCAAGTTATTAATACCCTATTTTTTGACAGAACGAGGCTTCCAGCAGATGGTGTTTGGAAAGACTCTTCCTCTCCACTGTCCTCCCCTGCCCTGTGCCAGCTTAGGGGGCCAGCTTAGGGAGGGAGCGGCCCCAGCTCCCTTCTGGCTGAGGGGCCTGGTGCCTTCTCAGCGGCAGTGGTTCCCCTCCTACTGCTTTCCTGTCTGCACAGGTGCCTGTGCCATTATTTTGCCTCTGGCACACGAATTCATTTCTTAGTTCTTTGAATTAAATTACATCCCCAGAGGCCCCTCTGTGGAAAAGGGAATTGGGTTTCTCTAGATTTTTCCAAAGAACAGACCGAGGACTGGTGAATAAAACAAGATTAGAACTGTGTTTGCTGAGCCTGAAAGCAAGCACGTGACCGAGCGTGGAGCACCCTCCGCATCCCTGGGAGGCCCCCGGCTGGAGCTGAGCAGTTGTCCGTCCTCAGAGCTCTGGGTGTAGGGTTCACGTGCACCTAGACCCCACGAGCTGCAGCCCTCAGACTCTGCAGCTTTGGTATTTATCCGCTTCAGTCTAACAAATAGCATCCTGTCTCCGTATCTGCCTTTCCTGGGACTTGAGATATTTTACCTGCATTTAAAGTGAAGAAGGAAAGAGAACGGAGGGGAAAGTTTTGCTTTGCTTTGCTTGCCTCACTTAGGATGTAAGCAGCCCAGCCCCAGATCCAGAAATGATCTTTGAGAGCAGTAGTTCTCCATCCTGTGTACATTAGAATCATTTGGGGTGGGGGTGAGAACGATACTCCTGACCCAGCCCCACCCCAGGCCATCAGCACGAAGACAGCAGCAGCACAGACACACAAGGCGCCGCTCCAGCTGTTGAGAACCATCGGAGAGAGCGCTCCGTAAGTGGCAGTGTTCAGGCTGAGGGCCAGGGTGGCCGGGATATCGGGAGGGGGTTTTGATGGAAGGGCTCCTTTCAATCTCAGGTTCTATGATTCTACATAGTTACAAGTAACAAAATAAAACAGGACTTCTCCAGACCTTGATACACTCCAAGGAAAATTCTTAAAATGAATTCAGTGTTGTAACTGAAATTGCTTCCGTGGGACCGTCCCCCGTATGACGACGACGACGATGATGATCCGTATGTCCATACCTGCCTTTGAGAGAATCTTCTTCTTCTCATGAGGCATTCCTTTTGAGCGTCCTGGGCTCAGGATGCTTGTGAAACTCAATGAGTACAGTTTTGTGCTTTGGATACTTAGCAGACAAATCCTTAGTTGCTATCAGAGTGATTACAAACCGTGTTTCCTAAAGTGCGGTAAATTGATTATCCATTTCTCCTGATTAGGCAGCAGATGGATTTTTGTTTGTCGTAGGATGTGACCGAGGGAAGATACTCTTCGTCTCAGAGTCTGTCTTCAAGATCCTCAACTACAGCCAGGTATTATTGCTTATGCTTCTGTTGGTGGTGGGCAGCCTCACGGCTGCCAGAAAGGTCACCCCACTTTTTAGAAGAATTATAATATACAAGCCACACATAAAAGGCTTATATTATAACTCCCCCCCACACACACACCCAATGCTTCTTCCAGAAAATTTGTAATTTCTTAACAGAGAAGTAAATTTAAATCTAGAAAAAAAATCTTTTTTTTAAGTTTTATGTATTTTTTTTAGAGAGAGAATGCATGGCAGGAAGGGGCAGAGGGAAAGAGAATCTTAAGCAGCCTGCACTCAGTGCCGAGCCCGATATGGGGCTCAGTCTCATGACCCTGGGATCATGACCTGAGCCAAAATCAAAAGTCAGACTCTTAACCGACTGAGCCACCCGGGTGCCCCTAGAAAGAAATCTTTTTAGTATGTGTTCTATGCTTCCCTCACTGGAAGGTTTGACTGTGATCTCATCAACAGCTTTATACTTTCTTATTGCCGCACAGTGAATATCCCACAGCTAGAGAGAGCGGAGGAGGCACGAGGCAAGGGGCTACCTGACCAGGAAAGGCAGATGATAACCAGAGAATGAAACAATGGGGATCCACCCATACTGTGTTTGTGATGACGTATCCCTTTTTCATTCTATTGAATCTCGGCTCCTTCTAAAAATAAAAAAAAATGAGTGTAATAATACCTTTTATGATTGTTCATAGGATGCAGTAAGATAAGCATGCCCACAAGCTTCTAGAGCAAAGTTTTTTAAGCAGAGACACTCTGTCCCTAGCATTCTTATTCACATATCCACCCATCCATCCACCTATTCACTCATTCCTTCACCTGCTGGTGTTTGCATGGGAAGCTGGTAGGTAGGCAGCAGAATTGAAGAATCCAAAGGATAGTTGTGTGAACTAGAATGAATGTAAGTTGGATGTATCCAGAGTGTCTTGCTCTTCTTGGTCTTGGGGAAAAGTTACGAAGGCGTTTCTTTTTTTCCCTGCTGCCACACAAGGCCGTGGAGGCACACGGTGTGACACAACAACACGAGGGCCCAGTGGGGCTAGAGTCCCCGCCCACACCCTGTGTTCCTAGCAGAGCATTTGTGGCATCCAGAACAAATAACAGGGAACACGTACAGCTGAAAGACTCCTGCCTTCGAGGAGCATGAACTATTTATAGAAGTATAAATATACGCCCTTCCCCCTCCTGTGTCATGGACACCAAAGTCCCGATGCCTCACTGCCTGTCCTGTGTGTCCCTAGGCACAGTGATTGGACAGGTGTACGTGTTCACACTGGACATATTTGAAATTCCCATGCCTAGAAATACAAACTAAAAGGCAGAGCACCTGTTGGCTAAGTTGTATCCCACGTGCTGTTGACGTGTGGTTTTCACGCTTCCTCCCCACAGAACGATCTGATTGGTCAGAGTCTGTTTGACTACCTGCACCCTAAAGATATCGCCAAAGTGAAGGAGCAGCTCTCCTCCTCGGACACGGCGCCCCGGGAGCGGCTCATAGATGCAAAAAGTGAGTCCAGGAGCAGGCTGCGGCTGCTTCCTCGGGGCCCGTCCGCACGGCTGAGCGAGGACTGCAGCGTGTGCCGATGCGCTCAGCCCCCGGCCTCCCTCCTCTCTGCCCCTTAACTGGGTCACACGTGCTCTCCTGGGCTCAATGCAGTTATCCACCTACCTTCCTATTTGTTTTGCTTTACGTAATGTCCAAATCCACAGGGAGGAAAAACAGCTATTTTGATTCTTTCTGGGTTTTAGACTCCCCACCCCCCAGAATCTATAAATTCCCAGTTGTGTGCTCCTGAGTTTAAAGGGCTCACACCAGTTTGATTCCACCACCCCCCTCCGGAAAAATTCCCTCTATTTACTCGAGTTACACTCATGCACCTCCTAAGATAAAAGTAAGAAAACTTGAAATATAAATTGGAAGTTTCTTTGGCCAAAGTGGTTCCTCATTAGTTGGGGCCCCCTCCTGGCTTCACGTCCCCCACCCCCACCCTGCTTCCCTCACCCGTGCCCCCCCATCCCTCCTGCGTGAGGCCCTGTAGCTTTCCCCCATCAGTCCCGGGGGAGCCTGTGTGCTCCGGCAGTTAGGAGCATGGAGTCTGGAGTCTGGTTGCCAGGCTCACTTCCTGGCTCTACCATTTGTCAGCTGTGACCTTTGACCTTGAGCAAGTTACTTAACCTCTCTGTGCCTCCGTTTCCTTATCTACAAAATAGTAGCGGTTTCGTGGGATGGTTGCGAGGATTAACTATATCGCTATACATAAAGCACGTGGGGCAGCTCCTGGCACACAGTGGGCACGGGGTCAGTGCCACGAGCTCACGGGCCAGTGTGGTCACGGCCCAAGTTTCCTGCTTGCACGTTCCCCCATGTCAGCCCCCAGAGGGAAATGTCCCCAGAGAGACCTCCTTTAAACCATCCTTTTCATTAAGGCACTCCTCTTCCGAAAACTTCAGTGTGGCCCCTGGTCCCTGTTGCCTTTTCTAGTCTGGCCCTGGCAATTTTTGGTAGTGACATGAAGAGAAAAAGGAGGTGAGGTTTGGTCCTTGCCTTTAAGGCTTGTGCCATACAGTCGAGGAGACCTGGGGCCAGCACCCCGCGTGATAGGTACCTCCATAGAAATAGTGCCAAGCAGAGAGAACAGAGGACTCGTTCTCCTGTGGACACGAGGACAGGCATCCCCGAGGAGGTGACGGCTGGGGTGGGTCTGAAAGGAGGAGTCGGGGTGGGTGCACCAGGTGACAAAGAGAGGAACAGAGCCGGGGGGCAGGGGGGGAAGGATCTCGGGATGGAGACGCATCCCCGCTGTGTGCTAGGGCGAAAAGGATCGGGGAGGGGGCCGTGTGTATTCCAGGGAGGCTCACCCGGGAGGCCCTGTGGGAGGTAGGTTGGAGGGGTGACGTCCAGGAGCAGCCCCGGCGGTGGCCCCCCCCTCTGGCTTCTCCCACGGTGGGCGCTCGTTATCCCCGGACAGTCTGCAGACCAGTAGCCAGTGTTCGCAGCAGGATCGCAGGCCCGCTCCTACCGGTAGCTGCTTTCTAGGAGATCTGGAAACCTTTCCAGATTGACAGCCCGCTCACCCGCGATGCGTCTTTCACGGCGTCAGTGAGGAGGAATGGTCAGTATGAGGCAGTGAGGCAGGAAAGAGGAGGCTTTCTTCAAGGTCACTCTCCCCCTCCTGACAGACAGTACTACTCTCAGTTTATCACATTCTGTGTATTGATTTGCAGCTGGACTTCCAGTTAAAACAGATAAAACCCCTGGGCCATCTCGATTATGTTCTGGAGCACGACGTTCTTTCTTCTGTAGGATGAAGTGTAACAGGCCTTCAGTAAAGGTGGAAGACAAGGACTTCCCCTCTACCTGTTCAAAGAAAAAAGGTAACCGTTTCACTTCTTCACGATCTTCTTGTAGGGCCACCAGGGCGGCCTGGGTCGCGAGCTCGCGGTCCTGGGGTCGAGCCGCGCATGGGGCTCTACGTCCAGGGTGGAGTCTGCTTCAGATCCCCTCTCCCTCCCACGCTGTCTCTTCTCTCTTGCTGTCAAGAAAATAAATAAAATCTTTAAAAATAAAATAAGAAAATCCTGATACAGGCGAGGCTGGCTTGGTGCACGGGAGCGCTCAGCACGGTATTGGCTCAGCGGTCCCCTGCAGGTCCCAGGACTGCAGTCCCGGGGGCCATTGTCCCCTACAGAGTAGGGCCGTTGGGGAGCAGGGGAGATTGGAAAGCCCCGACGGTTGTCACAGTGACAGAGACTCGTGGGAAAGCTTCCTCCATTTAAATTTTGTTTCCATGTGGTTGAGAAGGAACACCCTGAGCCACGATGCCAGCCGCTTCCGAGCATCCCACTCGCCTGCTGAAATTACTCTTGCCGCATCCACCAATGACTTCCATGTTGCTGAACACAATGGACACTTATTTTTCTTCCATCTTAAAGTATTTTTTTCCCCTAGGATTCCATGAAACCTCCTACTTCTCGTCTCCCCCATCCTCTGCCACTCTAGGCCTCCTCCCCACCTCCTTTTGCTGGCTCCTCATCTGTCCTGCACCACCTTTCTATCTACACGTGATCCGTAGGCCATGTCTTCTCCCTTGGTTTGCGGTGCCACTTCCATGCCGGTGGCTTCCAAGTTTCTATTTCTGGCCCAGGTTTTTCTTTTGAGCTGCAGATCCATAAGTCGGCTTCTTAAATCTATCTGCTCAGCCGTCTCAAGGGCACCTCAAACCTGATCTGTGCGGAAGTGACCACCGAGCTCCTCCCTGATGTAAATGGCACCACAGCACCTGGCTGCACATCCTGGGAGCTGGAGAGGTGCCCTCAGCCCGCTTCACTCCTCCCTCTTCCAGTCCGCTCAGGTGCAAAGTCCTGCCACCATGAACCCCCTACAGAAGTTATCCGACTGCGCTTATCCACCTCCCCGTTGACCGATCACTCAGACCCGGGCTACCCTCCGCTCTCACCACGGCCGGTGGAGTAGGCTCCTCACACTTGCCTTCTCTCCACACAGCAGCCAGAATGATCTTTTTAAAGCAAACCTGTCTATTGGTTCCCTACTTAAAACCCTATAGTGTTTCCCATTGCTCTTGGAGAAAAGTCAGGAGTCCTTAACGCGACCGCGACCGCCCCCACTCCACATGTTCAGCTGTGGCGACTTCCTTTCGATGCCTCCTCCCCCTTTCTGCCGTGGTCTCCAACTGGAACGCCTGCCCCCCACGCCTGTCCGTCGGCTCCCTTCAGCCAGCTGGCTGGCCTTCTCCTTTAGAGCCTGGCATCGGGGTCAGGCCACCCCGGGCCCTCCTGTAGCCCCTGCAGGTGCCCTTGCTAGCACTTTCTTGCAGTTGCACTGTGCACTCATTCATACGCTTGAGTCTGTGTGCTCCGTGCGGCACGTCCGATTGGTCTTCCGGTGACTACCCCGGACCTGATGCTCAGTGAGCGCCCCGTAAGGATGTGCTCGTTGTTGAACTCCACAGCTGTTCTGCACGGAATGTGTCCAGGTGAAATCCTTCTCCCTCTTCTCTAAGGCAGACTCCATGTCCTCTCTTCTCCGAGTCCCTGAGCAGCAGCAAACATTCAATCCAAGAAAGGTGGAGTCCCCTTCGTTTTCTTTCTTCATACCAAATGTTTTGATATTCCCGCCAGACCTCACGAGTTCTCAGGAACCTCCCGGCCTCCTCGTCCTCCCTGCGGGGCCAGAGCACATCCTCACCACCTCTTGCTGTGTCCTTGTCTTACTCTGTGTGCTCCTTGCTCTTCCGGTTTACCTATCGCTCTGCTCCTAGGGTATCCAAACCACCATTTCCTTTGCTGTTTCTCCACTTAAATACCTTCAGAAGCTCTCCATTTCTTGTCTGATAAACACGTATTTGTTAGCAAACAGTCTAAGACCCCAATAATCTGCCCCCAACTCACCGTTCCAGCTCCACCTCCAGCCCCTCCCTTTCCACTTCAACCACACCGATCTCCCTATTGTTTCTTGTACGGGGATGGGACGTGCCTCTGTGCTTTGTACCTTCTCAACCTTCGTACATCCTAGTCCCTTAGCCAGTGCTCATCCTTCTTGATCACCTCCTACGTGGTTTTCCTGGGCGGCTCTCCTCTCCCCAGGTAGATTGAGTGACTCCTTCCTTGGTATATGCGATGGCCTTGGCATAACCGGTCGTGCTCCACACGTAGGCCCCAGGATGATAGCTGTCTGCTTCTAAATCTTCCTCTCTTGCCAGTTCTCCCTTCCAGAGAGTAGAGCTTTGTTCACTTTTTGACTCCCTTCCCACATCCCGGCCCACCACAGGCTGCCCATGCCTGCTTGCCCAGAGCCGTCCTGTCACTGACCATGGACTTTGCTTTCTAGCAGATCGAAAGAGCTTCTGCACCATCCACAGCACAGGGTACCTGAAGAGCTGGCCACCCACAAAGATGGGGCTGGACGAGGACAGCGAACCAGACAATGAGGGCTGTAACCTCAGCTGCCTTGTCACCATTGGACGCCTGCATTGTCACGTGGTCCCACAGCCGGTGAACGGGGACATCAGGGTGAAATCCATGGAATATGTGTCTCGGCATGCGATAGATGGGAAGTTTGTTTTTGTAGACCAGAGGTAAGAGTCTGCGAACTACCCTTGAACAATAATGGTACAAGATTTTCACCTCTGAGTAAAGCAGAGAAGGCTGGGCCATCAGCTGGCTTCCCTGAGGGTAAAGAGAGAAGGAAGCGATGGGGATCTCTGCTAAAAAATGAGACCCATCCGAATGTCATCATAAACAGAGATTTTTCTCTCTAATGCTCTTTGGCGTGTAGCGACAGTTAAGGAGACATCGTCACGGTCGGAGGTCCATGGCCAGGGGAGAAATGATAGGCCTGGTATGCTGTCTGAGGGCGGGTGGAAGGTTCAGGACCACAGCTGAGATCAGAATTCTGGACTGTGGGGCTTGGAAAGATGATCTAGTCCTGAGCTGTCTGGTACAGTGGACGTTGGCTATAGCAATCTCACACGGCTATTCAAGTTTTTTTTTTAAGATTTTATTTATTTACTCATGAGAGATACAGAGAGAGAGAGAGAGAGAGAGGCAGAGACATAGGCAGAGGGAGAAGCAGGCTCCATGCAGGGAGCCCGACATGGGACTCGATCCCGGGTCTCCAGGATCAGGCCCTGGGCTGAAGGCGGTGCCAAACCGCTGAGCCACCCGGGCTGCCCGGCTATTCAAGTTTTAATTGAAACTACACTCAGAGGTGTCCGGCTCCCTAGGCACACTGCAGGTGCTCAGCTACATGAGGCTGAGGGCACAGGCCTAGCACATCGCCACTACAGAAAGCTCCATCAGCAACACTGACCTAGTCCAGTCTCACTCTTAATAGATGAGGAACTGGGGCCCCCCCGATGACTGGCCCCCTCCCATTCACAGCTGAGCGGTACTAGACCTGAGCCAAGAACCCAGATGTCCCAAGTTTGCCACTGCTCTCTGCTGTCTCCTTGAGAATATTCACCGGCTGATTATTTTTCTGGCTATTAGAAATAATCACTACATACTAGAAAAAGACACCACCATTTTCCAGGGCTCTTGTGTCCCCTGCCACTGGAGCTTCTGATGTTTGATCATCCTGATTAAAAAAAAATGTAGTGAGATAGAGAAGGTTTGCCCTGGGGTTTGGAATTCTATCACATTTTTGGCTAATATGGTTACATTTTAAGCCTCCTTTGTTGGAAAACAGCCCCTTTGAAAGGCTTCTTTCCTTTCTTTTCCCTCTGCTTTTATAGTGTTGGTTAAGTTCAGTTGCACCAAAAATATATATATATATATATATATTTTATGAATATATATATATTCATATCCACCTAGTAAGCCCTCTGGAAGGCCATCCAGGGTGGACCTTGTTCTCATCAGCTCTGGCGGGGTTCATCCACTGAGCAGAAACCATCTCAATAACTTTTTTTTTTAATATTCTAGGGCAACAGCTATTTTGGCATATTTACCACAAGAACTTCTAGGCACATCATGTTATGAGTACTTTCACCAAGACGACATAGGACAACTTGCAGAATGTCACAGGCCAGGTAAGCTGGGCTGTACGAAAGGTTTTAAGGTCAGGGTGTCCCCCTGCTTCAAAACTAGTCCGCATAAACGTTCCAGAGAAATCTGGTTTACCAGACCCCCTGGTGACGTGGGGGGTCAGCCAGCCCAGAGGTCTCGAAGCCAACATCTCTGAGGTGACGAGGCTGGTGTTCCCAGGCCCTGTTTATCCCCTCAAGGAGAACCCACCTCGGCCTGCCTAGCATTTTTCTGTACTTAGGACAGTGCAGTTTCTGGAAAGTCTCTCTTGTTCAGAGGATTTACAGGAACGCTGTAAAGATTTAGCTCAAACAAATCTGATTCTCTTTTCCATAAAAACCCGCAGTGCCTTCTGTATTTTCCCTTGACTTTTGGCACCGGCACAGACTAGCCTCCTGGGAGGGACCAGTACTGACCCCTTCCCTCTGTGTCCCGTTGGTTCACCTCAGACCTGCACTTCCAAAGAGGCCCCTTGTTGTACCTCCACTGCCACAGCCCTGACTCAGGCCCTTGTGCCCAACCCATAATTGTGATCGACTCCTAGCAGGCCTCCCTGCTCCCTTCTGCCCCCAGCCCCTTCCATGTTTCATACTTGTCCCATTTATGCCCCAACAGGTTGAGCTCGATAATGTCACATCCCTGCCTGAACCTATGGCCTTTAGACTCCAGGCCTTTGACCAGTGTTCAAGGCCCTCCTCAGCTTCACCCCCACCAGGCCCTGCAACTTGTGGGGCACTGCTGAGTCCTTCCCTCCCTCCCTCCGACACACTTGTAACCCTCCTTCCTCTGCGTAGCCGCTCCTCATTCCTGTCCTGAGGGCAGGGGTCATGCACCGCCCCCCTCCATCCCCAGTGCCTGCCTGGCACATGAAAGGCGCTTGTTCCATGTTCGTCATATAAAATAATGAGATGTGACTAGGTGAGTGACGTCCCGGGCTTCAGATGTCCTAAAAGTGCTGCCCTGCCCTCTGGCTTTGTGATGGGGAAGGAACAGGGGCCCTTTGGACGCTTGTGGCTCCCTTCACAGCGGGTCCCGGCCACGCGTCTGAATTGCAGTTGTTCCCTGGCGCCTGCAGTTCCTACGCTGAACAACAGCGGGAGATTCACGGATGAATCGAAAGGCTGCGAGTCAAGGCCTCAGAAGCAGCCCAGCCCGAGCGCCCGCCCCCGTGGCGCAGCGTGAGCAGCGCGGCAGGCCCGGGCGCCTCCGTCGCAGAGCACGAGCCCCTTGAAGGGTGGCGGCAGCGGGGCCCCGGCACACGTAGGGTTTGCTTAGTTCACTGCGTTGGTCTCAGGAAGCAAGATTCACGGTTTCTTTGCATTTTCAGTTTTACAGACGAGAGAAAAGATCACGACTAATTGCCAGAAGTTTAAAGTCAAAGATGGTTCTTTCATCACGCTCCGGAGTCGATGGTTCCGTCCCATGAACCCTTGGACCGAGGAAGCAGAGTACATCGTGTCAACCGACACTGCCGTCTTGTAAGTGTCTCCCCGCCCGGGAGGCTCTCTGGCGTCCAGGACGAAGGCCCGGCTCCTTACCTGGGAAGGCGGGCGCAGGCGGCAGCCAGTGGCGCACCCTCTAAGGCGACCCTGCCCAGATCCTGGGAGGCCTCGGGGTGGGCAGAGGCCAAAGGGGCCGGTAACCAAGAACACGCTTCGACGCGCACGCCGTGCAGGCCCCCGGCTCGGGGAATTGCCCCGGGAGCAGCAACCGTTCCTTCCCGATACGGCAGTAGCTTTTGGTGCCCGAAGGCCCTGCACGCTGGGCGCCTGGGTGCTGCCGTGCAGGGGCCGACAGCCCAGGGGCGCTCGCCCGGGTGCCGCCTCATACTGGCCTTGGCTCAGGGCCCCCGTGCCCGCCAGGCTGGCCGCCCGAGCGCTGGCAGCCCGAAGCCCGCCTCAGAGGCCGCCACCTGCCAGGCGAGCAGGGAAGGCCCCTCTTGGGCAAGGACTGCTCCCCGCATCTCCTTCCCCATGGTGTCCAGACCCCCACCTGTGGCCAGAGCGGAGTGAGGGGCCAGGGCTAGGTCCCTGCAGACTGGCAGGAGAGGAGGCCCCGTAGCGATGGCAGTGGGCGGCTGCAGTCACCTTCTCTGCCGGACTCTGTCCCCTACAAACCAGGAAGGCCCAGGCAGGCAATGAGGCCAAAGGCCGGGATGCTGTCCACCGTGTTCTCGAACAGCGAGGAGACCTGCTGAGCCACTCAGGCAGACACTTCACTTTCTGGCCTGTCCAGGTCCAGAGTGGACACTGGACACCTTGGCCAAGGTGAAAGGTGCACGGTTCTGAGCAGGCCTGACTCATGTTTCCTTATTGCTGGGATGTTCACAGAGCCAACGTCCTGGAAGGCGGGGACCCAACCTTCCCGCAGCTCACAGCGTCCCCCACAGCATGGACAGCATGCTGCCCTCTGGAGAAGGTAACTATGTACGGCAGGGGCATCGGGGCTTGCCCATGAGAAGCTGCTCGTGGCCAGTGTACCCCCGCCCCAACTATTTGGTGTCCCCAGCCCCCATATTTTATGGAAGGGAGGCTTCAAGGAGATGAGCCCTAACGACGTCCTCTCACTTTCTCTGTGGAGCCTGGAATACTGAGAGCTCGTTCCAAGGTTACTGGGACCTTGGAAGCCCTTGAAATAGGAAACTCGTTGCTCCTCTTGGGCTTTCCTCCGTGTTGCCCAGTGCTGGGATGTTGTGCTTTTTGGTACTGTCACTGGCTCCTGGGGGGAGGAGGGTGTCTGTCAGCGGGGCTCCCTCTGGGCTTGGCCCTGGCCTCTGCACCTGACGTACCCTTCCACGGCACCACCTCTGCTTGCATGGCTTCCTTCAGTCCCCTCCTCTCCACCACTGACTCTTACCTCTGATCTCTCTGTCTCTGGAGCCATAGGTCTGTCTCTCCAACTGCCTCCTGGACAGAGCCACCTGGAGTCTCAAAAGCACCTGAAATTTAGCCTCTCCAAACCGATTCTCTGCACTCCTTCATCTGGTTGGTTAAGCCAGAAACCTTGACTCTTCCTTCTTGCCTGTTCTGAGCACGAGATCCTGTCCCTTCTGCCCCTCTTAGACTTCTCCATCTCCCTCCCATCTGTCGCCCGGATTGTTGCAGAGAATTGTTTAATCGTAGTCTTACTCCCCCACCCAACCCCTTTCCTCCGCTGTAGTTCACGCTCCACGCAGTGGACTTCCCAGTAACCCTAAGTGCCTTTCTGTGCGAAGTGTTTGGCAGCACGCCTTATCTCTGGATCCTGTCTAAATCCATTAGTATGGCATCCAGGACCTTTCATCCAGGTACCTCCTCCAGTTTCATCTGTCACTCTTTTGTCGTCGTTCATGATGAAGTTCTTGGAGTAGTCTCCCAAGTTGTGTCCTCCCTCAGTGCTCTTGCGCATATTGGTTGCTGTGCATGGAACGCCTTGCCCTCCCTACCTCTCTGCTCAGCTAATTTCTACTCCTCTCTCAAGACTCAGCTCAGTGTTAAACTTGCCCGGGAAGCTGTACCTGGGCCTGGAGGAGTTGGGTGCCTTGTACTTACCTGTCAAACTTACCACACTTTGTTCCAGCCATTGTTCATCTTGTCTCCCTGTTAGACTGTGAGCTCCTTGGGGGCAGAGCTGCCGACTTACCTCTGGGACCCTGGCTTGCTGTACCGCGGTAGTCGGTAAATGGATGTTGAGCGCGTGAGGGGAACCAGAGCCCTTGCTTTGGCCTCTGATCCTGGACGCAAACTTGAGCCTTCTGCTGGAATGACTTTTCCTGACAAGCTGCAGCTCTGCTGTCCCTTAGGGCATAACCCTAAGGGTTAAACTTCAAGTGGATCACAAGATGAACTGGTTTTAACTCACAATAGCATTTCTTCCTTGGTTCCCCTTTCCCACTCTCAGATTCCTTTGTTGTAGGTGGCCCAAAGAGGACCCACCCCACTGTTCCAGGGATTCCAGGGGGAACCAGGGCTGGGGCAGGCAAAATAGGTCGAATGATTGCTGAAGAAATCATGGAGATCCACAGGCAAGTAACACCTTCTGGTTGCTCCCTTAAACCAGTGGTTCTCAACCCAGGGCATTTTGCCCCCCCCAAGAGATGTTTTGTAATACCTGGAGATATTTTTGGTTGTCATAACTGGGTAGGACGTTGCTGCTAAATACCCAGTGGATAGAGACCAGGGATGCTGCTTGCTAAACATCCTGTAGGACACAGGACAGCCTTCCTGCCATCTCCTTCTACCCGAAACAAAGAATTTTCCAGTCCCAAATGTCAATGGTGCCGAGATTGAGAAATCTGGCCTTAAAGAGTGAAACCCAAACAGGCCAGAGTTAAAGGGAACAGATTAAGGGTAAGGCAGACTGGATAATAAACCACCTCTGATGTTCACACTTCCTGCATGTGACTCACTCTAAAAGGACAAAAACAGCACTGGAGAGAAATAAGATATGGGCATTAGATCTCCTCCTAATCAATCAAATAAGCCCAATGATAAATACTCCTTTTTTGCCCATCATGGGCAGCAAACTATACACATTTTACTGAAGGAATACTTTGATAGAAGCACTTATTTCAGTTATATTGTGCATCACAACTATAAAAATGGCTTGAACAGTTCCATTTAACCACCATTTATAAAGGCACCTATATAATATTCTACATTTTACCTGGGGTGTGATGAATATCAATATAAGCTGAAAATACCCCAGCTGCCAATCTTTACCACTTAAAAAACCATTCAGCTACATTTATATAACTGGAACCTTTGGTCTTTTTAAAAACCATTCAGCTACCTTTGGCCTACACTGCAATATCCTAAACATGGTCATGTGCATCTCACGATGAAAAGAGTGGCCTTGCAGTGCAGAATGAGGAGAGTGCAGCGTCACCGTGACGAGTAGCATGCTATGGTTTCAAGGAACATCAGCATCACAGCATCGGATTCTGTGCATCAGGATCGAGGTCGTTGTTGCCAGAAGGGGGATGGATGGGGAGGATATCCAGCTCATCCACCTGCGGAGTTGGGTGCAGGACCACCAGCTGGTCCTGGGGAATGTCTGCAGCAGCTGCTGCAAGATTGGTGATAGATTTACTCTTCACACATTGAAAGTCTACATGCCGACTCTTTCCTTCTTCCTTCTCCCAAGACATTCGAATAAAGGGTCTTTGGACATAGTTGTAAATCACTTCTGGGCGGCCTCCAGGCCTTTTCTTTACTTTTTCTTTGTAGGTAGGATAACCTGGAGGACAGAAAAGTTTTAAAAACTGAGGTGCACACATACACAAGCATGCACACACTTCTCACCCAAACTTCCCACCCAAGTGGGAGAAGTCCCATAAACAACTCACCCAAGTTAGCCTAAAGAAGGCTTTTCTGCTGTAGTTCCTGACAAACAGAAATTAAGACAAAGAAAGGAAATCAATAATCCATCTCTGTCACCAGTTCAACAGCCAGAAACCGGAATCCTACTGATGCAATTCACACAAGCTTCCACCATCCTCTCAGCCGCTCAACATACCAACCCAGTAAAATATTCAAGTAAAAGCATGGAGGGGGATAAGTCCTGAACAGAATGGTTCATAGTCTCGTGCATTGGACTCTACCTGTATACCCTTAATATCCCTGAACCCTCCCCTTCACGGGATCATCTCGCCTCAAGGGCTGCAATTTGTTGCCACATTAGCCTTCTAATTTCCTTAAACCTAAATCTCATCTTTATATTGCTTTGGGTTTTTTTTTCCTTTTTTTTTGTTGTTAACATATAAAGAGCTATAGAGTTCTCCAGCTTCACTAGTTCTAGGTATACTTTTGCACCTAGATCAACAAAGCCAATATTTTAAGCCCCATGTCATTTTAACACTACTCCCAACAACCAAGCAGTTCATCCAGAGTGGCAATTCAAAGGAGCTTCCCCTGATTAATTATACCTTCCTCTTCTTGGATAATTACTGAAAAGTAACAATTAGTGAAGACAATGCTAATATGGGAAAAGTTTCAGTCATTTACCAGTAAGGCAATTTCTCCAGACATAACTGCTTAAAACTATTATTAGAAGTCCCTTCCCTCCTTCCTACTTGCAAGAATTGCTAGTTTAGACCAGGGATTGGCAAACATTTTCTTTAAAGGGCCAGATAGTAAATATTTCAAGTTTATTTCAGCTTCTCTTGCAACTACTCAACTATGCCACTGTAAAGTAAAATCAGCCACAGAAAAATGTAAATGAATGAGCATGTCCATGTTTCAATAAAACTCTGGGCAATGGAGGGGATAAGAGGCAATGGGCTAGATTTGGCTCATGGGCCACAGACTATAGGAGAATCAGAAAAAAACTAGAAAGACCTCACACATCAGGGACTCAATTACTGCATAAAGGAAGTACGTTGGCATCACTGGTGGCTAGTATATTTAGCTACATATGTAAGTAATATGGCTCAGGTGAGGGGGCTCGGGCAAGCAGAGCTAAAAATCTTCTAAAGACTCTTTGTAGAATGTCTTTTTTGTTTCGTACTTCCAGTCAATTACCAGGGCAACACTTGAGTTCAGAAAGGTCTCCAGCTCTATTCCCTTGTCCTTGATTTCTCTTGGACTATTAGTCTTTAAAATTCCCATCTCATCATAGTCCAATTTGTCCTCCACAGAGAATCCTCACTCTGATACAAGTATAATCCTATTACATCCTTGCTTAAAAACTACCAACTACCAAAAAATTTCCTCTTGCTTCAAGGGAAAGTCCAAAGTCCTTCACATAGTATATAAGGCTTTTTTTTTTTTTTTTTTTTTTTACAAGCAGGCTCCAACCTACTTGTCACCGGGCTTCAGCTCAAATATCTCTGCCTGAGAGAAGCCTTCCTCATCCTCCCAATCTATAGTAGCTTCCAGGTGTCTTCTCTCTAGCTCTGAAATCAAACAGCTAAATCCCACTACTTACAAAATGACAGAAGACAATGGTGAAGCTAAAGTGTCAGCAATTCCACGATGTTCTTAAGCCCAAAGTCTCCTCCCCTTCCTGCAAAATCCTATTTCTGGTCATTCTTTCTCCTATGTCTCAGCAGTCCATTACTGCGATCTCCAACAGCTCAGCTGGTCATTGATCAACACCATGATCTTCATGATCAGCATCACAAACATATACTGAGAAATTACTATGTGCCAGGCTCTGTTTTAAGTTTTTCATTCTGTCATCATAACAACCCTATAAAGTACTTTAATGCTCCCATTTTAGATGAGGAAACTGAGGCACAGAGAAGTTAAGTGCCCTGGCCAAGGTCATACAACTATTAAGTCATAGGATTTGAACACAAGTAATGTGGCTCCAGAACCTTTAATCTTTACACTATGCCACATTATGCCGAGGGGGGATATTTTGTTCTTAGTAAAAGGGCACTTTAAAAGAAGTATCTGACATGGCATCTGGAAAAATCCATTTAAATCATAAAGTAAAAAAAAAAAAACTAAAAATGTTTGCATTTAACAAGATGAAATAAGTTTGAAATCTGTATTTAATGTGAAAATAAGTTAACTATTATCATATCTTAAGAACCAGGAAGCTACTAACATGTTTTTACATGCATTTTCAGATAGTAGTTTTAAGTTCTGTTGAGCTTTGAAGAACACCAATGATCTCTGATGGGCACAAGGCTTTGCCCATCTTTTGGAAAGGTATACACATGTACCAGGCAAGAATGCATAGGGATGATGAAATATGGCAGAAAAGACAAACTCACTTTTTCTTACTATTAGGGAATCTTATGGAATAAATAATAATCTTTAATGGCTTTCTATCTTTTCAGATAAAGGAAGCTCATTTTTGTTATTTTTGTGTACTGCATGAGCATTCAATCATCATTTGAGTTTTTCTCAAAGTATGTATTTCTCAAGCTATATTCTAAATGGGATTCAATTTTAACCTTGTTTTTTTTTTAAAGAAAATAGAAAATAATGAAAATGTCTTACCTTCTATTCCCAATCTAATCTTCTTAAGACCTCTATCCTTCAAAACTGATTTGGCCACATCTCTGTTTTCAATGTACTTGAAAAATCTATATAATTTTGTGCTATAAATAACTGGAAACAAAAAGACAAAAATACTTTCTTATTAAAATCAAAGTACTTAGAGATGAACTTAAAATTATCTTGATCATCAAAGGGGCCTGACAACTCTAAAAGCCCAAATAATGGATGCAGTGATGCGAAAAGGATGACTAGCCAACATGACAGGATAATTCAGTACAGTTAATGTATAAGCAAATGTCTACTTAAGTTGAAACAAAAAAAAAAAAAAGCTTTAATAACCAATCAGGTAACCCAATCCATAGGAAGAATGTCCTTCTGAAAGATATATCATATACAAACTTATTGCAATAGAATCTGCCCCACTTTCTTCAAATAAGAGAACCAAAAGATGGTAATATCACATCGTTATCGAGCAGGCAAAGTAAAGGACTTTGCTATGATGCCTACAAGGCCTCGTCTGGAAGAGAAAAAACTGCCTTGTCACAGAGTACAAAATGGATACATCTTATATTTCATGGATTGAGCAACTATTAATAATTCCCCCAAAAGGCAAAGACCCTCCCCACAAACTGTTTTCAATTCAGGCAAACAGCCCCATTTAATACTGATGTTAAAAATGGCAGATTCGAGCATGTTCTGCCCAGGTTAGTCTGTTTAGAGCAAACTGGCTTTGTAAAGGACAGACATTCCACTGACATGTTGAGTCTTCCAAATGTGCTGGGAACTTCAGGGAGTTAGACTGATGGACCTTCCTCGCCTTCTCTCTTTCAGGTGGAGTTATCTCCCTTAAAAGGTGAACTGCAAAGGTTTTTTCAAAAAAGAAAAACACACTCACAAACCAAACATGCTGGTTTAAGAGCCAATAAAAGGAAAATACGTATACAGATGCTACTCATGGGATAAATTTGTGATTTACATCCTTAAGATTACTGATATTTTTAAGATAAAGATTTGCTGACATCTCAGAATGGATGGTGTCATAAAGCCACAGGTAGGAAGATCAGACTGTAGAGGCTGTGTCTCCTCAAATGAATCTTCTTTAGGTTGAAACATCTTGGCACAAAATGAAATATATTTAGACAAATTATGTAAAAATGTTTTCAGTCCTTTTTAAGCTTCAAAGCTTAAGATGAAAAACAAGAAAACAAAGAACACTGACACGGAAAATGGAACAACTGAAAAGGAAAAGCTGGGTCTACCAGAATTCCTCTATCGCTATAATTTCTGTGTTCTACAGCAGGCTCTACTCTCCTGGAGGTCAAACTTTTTGAAAACTAAAATATAATTTATTTTGGCTTATTCATTCATTTTTCTTAACAGAAAATAATGTATATTTATTTTAATTTTTGTTAGCCTTTCATTTTTCCTGTGTTTTGTTTGACTTTTTATTCCACATATTATGACAGAAACTACTGTCAGCAAAGAAGATAGGAATGAGGAAATACACAAAAATGTCTGTTATTACAACTGTCCAGAGAAGAATCACAACACTCATTAAGTGTATCATGCAAAGGAAACATCTCAATGTAAATTCTAAAAAGTGCTATCATAACTTAGGTTAAAATAATCTTTTCAAAATCTTTAGAAGTCAAAGGAATACCCCTTGGAGTCTGCTTTGTTTTGATTTTAGATAGGGATAAGTAAAATGAAAAAATCAGAGATTAAAGCATTCTGGTAACTTTCTATATTCCTGTTATTTTTTACTTAAGCCCTCATCTTCACCAAGTCAACACAGGCTGGCATACAGAACAAGATGCTGGACTATTTTGCCTAGTTACTCAAATCATTCTTTTAACTCTATCTTCTCAAATCTATAAAACAGCTCAAAAATACTATACAGGGTTCATCAAGAAAAATATAAATTTTCTGACAAAACTCAAAAAATCAAAAGGCTCCAATCAGAAAAAGTTTGAAAGTGTAGTAAGGAAAGTCATCGTTGTTCAAGATAAGCTGTTTTGGTCAGAAATACATATAGTTCCACAAAACGTTCTGAAGGGTCATTATATCCTCCAGGAACACATATGATACTAAAGAGGAACATCTTAGAACATCAAGTCACCCTAGAAATCAATGCATTGAAGCTTCTCATTTTACATACAAAAATAATAATTCATCTTAAAAAAAAAACAGCTGATTTTTTAACAATCTATTTACTCCAGGATCTACTTCCCTAGAAGGCTTCTTTCTAAATGCAAAGAAAAAAAATCTATCAAGATCCAGATACTCAACAAAGAGCAAACCATTTCTGTGCATGACAGGGGTGGGCATATTTTTTCTGTAAAGGGCCAGAGTAAATACTTTTTGGGCTTTGCGAGCCATGCGGTCTCCGTTGCAACTACTCAACTCTGCCATTGTAGCGCAAAAGCAGCCATAGACAATACATAAAAGTTTATTTATAAAAACAGGCAATAGGCTGGATTTTGATCCACAGCTCGTAGTTTACTGACTCCTGGCGTAGGTAAGAGTTCAATGTACTTTATAAAAACTGTCCTTTGATCGGTATTAGATAAAGAATCTGTGATGATTTAAGAGAGAAAACATGCCACAGTACTTACTTTGTGAATACTCTTCTCCCATCTGTGGGGGATACTCTTCATCCCAATCAACCACATCATCATCTGTAAGCACTACTATGTGGCATTCTCGTTCCCCACTCTGGGAACTAGCTACCATGAGAGGCAGGATCATTTCTTCCAGATAAAATTCAAACTGTCTACGAGCACCATCATTTGATAACTCATGCATTAGGGCACCTGAAATGAATCCAACAAAAAATATCTTGATTTTTCTGATGACTGATGAGTAAAAGAGCAGAAGCAACACACACACAAAATATTAAAATTAGTTCAGCTCTCTACTCTGCAGCCCTACAGACAAAATACAGTGGTTATTCTATAGTCAACAAAACTTTTCCTAGGAAGAGATTTTACAGAAACGAATCTTATAGAAAGAAGGGCAAATTAAAAGCATCTAACATAAGCTCCTTCATTTTATACTTTAGGAAGTGACCTACCTAAGGTTACAAAATTAATTTGCAAAATCAGAATTGAGTCCCCACCCCCAATTTAGCCCAGGGTAGTGTTTTTATTATTTCATGTTGTCTTCCATCAATATATGCAATTATATCTTAAAAGTATATCTTAAGGATGTTTTCAGATTGTCCACTGAACTAAAATAGCTCTCATAATTCCTTCTCCTATGTTTTCTTTCTCAAAAAATTATTCACAAACAACATTAATATTTCAGTGTAGAAAAAAGAAGTGAATTGGCTTTGGGATAAGGCAGGCAAAAGGCCAAGCAAAATATAGGATGGTACAGGACTTATGTAGCAGACCTGACCCTAGAATTCAGAGGGGTAAAAGATAATTTCACATCACCCTCCTTAAGTATAAACATAGTGAATAACTTCAATTGCCCAAAAAGAGGGCCACAAAATCACTTGCACTGATCTAATTTTTTTCCTATGACAATGGCAATGTCCTATCTCCTAAAGCACTACTAGTTCAGGAACTACGAGGAGAGTTAGAGCAGAAACTAGAACTCAATCTAAGCTATAGTCTCCCAAGGGAGAGTCTTTTCCCCCTAAAACATCACTAATTATATAATAATTATTAATAATATATAGTGATATAAGTGATTAAGTAATTAATATATGTTATAATTTCACCATGCCTCTCTCTAGGCTGGCTAATTCCAGTTTTTAAAAAAGATTTTATTTATTCACGCGACACACACAGAGAGATAGGTAGAGACACAAGCAGAGGGAGAAGCAGGCCCCCTGCAGGGAGCCCGATGCGGGACTTGATCCCGGGACCCCAGGATCATGCCCTGAGCTGAAGGCAGACTGTTCAACCACTGAGCCACCCAGGCGTTCCTAATTCCCATTGATTTCTTTTTAATTTCATTTATTGCCGAACTCCTAGATATATCAACATAGTCTTTTTCCTTTAACTTTTGAACCAATTCCAATCTGGCTTCCATACTCAGTATTCCTCAAAACTTCTCTCAATATAGCCTCCTTTATCAGATTGTTAAAAATAATGAGTATGTTTTGATCCTGTTCTTATCTGACCTCCTGGCTGAATCTCTCACAGACCACCACCACCTTCTTCTTAAAACCCTCTCTTCCTTAAGAATCTCTGATGCCACTATCCCTAGTTTTCTTTCTCCTCTGGATGTTCTTCTTCAATCATCTTTGCCAAATTTTTCTCCTCTAGCTGTTCATTAAATATTCATGTTTCTCAAGACAATTTTTCCTTCTCTTACCTTATGCTGATAATTCCCAAATTTATTCTAATTCTTGTCTTCTATATTCTAGATGCCTTATATTCAACTGCCTTCTGGAAATCTCCATTGGGATGCTACGTCACAGGCACCTTCAAACTCAATATACTAAAAGTTGATTTAATCATATGTGCCTTTCCCTGCAGTGTTTCCCAAATCAGTAAATGGCATCATCATCATCATTCATTTCTCAGAATCATCTTAGAAAAGTACAAGGCATATAGTAGGAACTTAAATATTTGTAGAATAAATAAAAGTGAATCCTCGATTCCTCTTTCATCTTTTAATTCAATCATTCCCCAGCCCTATCAAGTCCACCTCTTAAATGCATCTTGAATTGTGTCATTTTCTTCTCTGGGAGATGCTATCCAAAGATAACTGAAAAATCTCTTATACCATATGCTTTTCTACAATGGGACCTTGACATCTCCTCCCTGGAGATGGAGTCTAATTCCTCTTCCTTTAACCTAAGCTGGTCATACTGACATGCTTGTAACCAGGGCAGCATGGTAGAGGTGAGAATGCATGTTTTGCCTTGGTCCTGGGTAACATTCTCTCTCCAAGTGCTTACCTGCTGAACTCAGTCTCCAGACTTAGAGAAGCCCAAGATGCACACAGAGGCCACATGTAGGTTCTCTGTTTGACAGTCCTAGCTGAACTCAGCCCTTAAATCATCCCAGTGAAAGCAGAAGACATATGAGTAAAGAATCCTACAGCTTTCTGCATCATCTCAACTCTTCAATTATTCATGAGATCTCAGATATTTGAAGCAGACACAAGCCACCTCTGCTATACCTTGTCTGAATTCTTGACCCACAGAATAAAAATACTTCATGCTAAGTTTGGAATGCTTTATTACACAGCAATACTTAACTAGAACACATTCCATCCCCAAAGCCCCCAAGTCCAAGTCATCCTTAATTCTCACCCAAACTACTATAAAACCTAATTACATTCCCCCAGCATTTACTTTTTTTGCCTGTGTAATTCATCTTCCCCACAGCAGCCAAATCATACAACTCCACTAGTTTAACTCTCTCAAGGCTTATACTATCCAAATCCTCAACTTGGTCCATAAAGACTTGTTACATGAAAAGGGAGATTATAGATCAATGTGTAGAGTCCCCTAAAAATATTTTTCTTTAAATACTACACATAAATACATATCCTACATAAATCCTATATATGTATATATGTATGTGGGGGGGGTATATCCTGCATATAAATTTACTCTGGCTCTGGCATATTTCTCTCCTGAACTTTAAACTTGTATACCCAATGCCACACTAACCATTTCCACTTGGATTTCTAGTAAGTATTTCAAACTTAACATGTCCCAAATCAATAAATTTCTGCTGCTCCCGTGAAGTCTCCCCCATCTCACTTAATGGCCCAAATCAAGTTCATATTTAATTAATGGCAGGTTCACATTTCCATTTAATTAAGTCCTCTCTTCTCCCCCCATATTCAATCAACAAGCAAATCCTGACAACTCTACTATCAATATATCCAGAATTTGATCACCTCCCAGTGCTTCTCCTCTGATTTAAGCTACCACTCTCTCTCACTTGAATTATGGCAATAGCTTCCTAATTATCTCTTTGCTTTTAGCTTAATCCCCTCACTGCAATCCAGTTCTAATACAATAGCCAAGAGTAATCTTTTTTTATTTTTCTTATTTTTAAGATTTCATTCATTTACTCATGAGAGATACACAGAGAGAGATGCAGAGACACAATCAGAGGGAGAAGCAGACGCCATGCAGGGAGCCTGATGGGACTTGATCCCTGGACCCCAGGATCACGACCTGAGCCGAAGGCAGACACAACCTGAGCCCCCAGGCGCCCCAGAGTAATTCTTTTAAAACATAGTCAGATCAGGACTAGCACTGCACAACTCCATACTGAATTCTGTGTGAACAGAATTCAACCTGGCAATCTCACAGATCACATCACTCCTCTGTTCAAAACCCTCCAATGGCTTCCCATGTCATTCAGAGTGAAAGCCAAGATAAAGGTCTTACATGACTTAGATCCCTTTCTACCCTCATCTCCTACTGAGGACACTCAAATTTACTCCACTCCAACTCTTGCTGCTGCTCAGACATGCCAGGCAAGCTACCCCAAACCTTATACTCATTGTTAACCTCTGCTTGAAATTAAATTTTCCTCTCCAGTTAAGGCTTCTCTGGCTACTCTATGTCCTTTCCTTATGTCCCCCCTCTTCAGCACTGATTACTGACATACCATATGTTATTTGTTAACCTGGTTTGTCCGTCTTCCCCAAAAGAGTGTAAGTTCCATTAGAACACTAAGTTTTGCCTGGTTTGTTCATGTGTATCCCCAGAACTGGAGCAGACTGGTAGAGAATTAAGTCATCAGATATTTATTCAGTTAATAAATTTTGTTTTCTCCACTTCTCTGGCCTTATTTCTCATCATTCACACTCCTCCCTCCACTCTAGCCATACTTCCCTTCTTTCAGTTCCTTAAGCATGTCATATTCCACTTAACATGTCCCAAATCACAGCCTCTAAATACCTTTGCTGCTGCCTGGTAAGGTCAGTGTCTTATCCCCCTTGCTATTGCTCTAGGTCTCAGCTTTAATGTCACTTGGATAATGATTTTCCACAGCCCCTTTACCATACACTTCTAATAGCATCTCCTTTCTTCACCATTTTTCATTACTTGTCGAATGCCTATCTTCTTCCCCACTAGACTGCAGACACCATAAAGGCAGGGATAAGGTCTAATTCATTACTATATTTACTAATATGCATGGAACTAACAAAAAGTCTGAATAAGAGAGGGGAATTATAAGTTAAATAGGAAACTAGAAACACATAGCTGATATTAAGAATTAGAGATAAAATAATTGAAATCCACAGTGTATAGGTAGTGTCTGAAGCCACAATGATGAATGCCATCACTTAGAGTAAATGTATAGATTCTGTGAGAGAGAGTGGGTAGCTTAAGACAGAATACTTAGGACATTCAAGAAATCAAGGATCAGGGAGCAAGTGAGAGAAAGATAAAGCCTAAAAGAAGAATGTCAAAAAGCCAAAAGAAGAATCAAGAAGAAAGAAGTGACTTCACAGTGACACCTAAAGAAAATGCCTTTAAAGACAAGGATCCCAGAATTACCAATAAATTTTTAAACATTGTTCAAATATTCTAGCCAACTTACTAAGGCAAAAATATATATGTAAAGTGTTATTTAAAACACACAAAGTTGAGAGGGCAGCCTGGGTGGCTCAGCGGTTTAGCACCACCTTCAGTCCAGGGTATGATCCTGGAGACCCGGGGATCAAGTCCCACGTCGGGCTCCCTGCATGGAGCCTGCTACTCCCTCTCCCTGTGTCTCTGCCTCTCTCTCTGTCTCTCTCTGTCTCTCATGAATAAATAAAATAATAAAAATAAAAATCTAAAAAAAAACAAAAAACACAAAGTTGAAAAGGTATAGATAGTTCCTATCCTCCACTTCAAACTGGTTTGATGCTACAAACTAAAAAATAGAGCAAGAGAGAGTGAGAGAGAGAACACACAAGTGACTCCTGTTATTTCAGTGTCTCTACATTTCAGTGACTTCACAGGCAGGATCTGCCTCTGATCACCCTTTCTCAATAGCTTGGAAACCATTAAACAAGTTGTTACTAAAGGGTATTTAGTAATACAGCTATTCACTTTGAAATATTACAAAATAGCATGTATAATATGATATTTGAATATTTTTAAAATTTACATTTCCTAATATTGCTCTTTTAAAAAAAAAAAAACTCTTATTTAATACTATGTGTCAAGCACTATTCGTTTAATCTCCACAACAACCCTGTGAAATAAGTATTATTGTCTCCATTTTAAAGATGAGGGAATTAGGGTAGCCCTGGTGGCGCAGCGGTTTAGCACCACCTGCAGCCCGGGGTGTGATCCTGGAGACCGGGGATCAAGTCCCACATCGGGCTTCCTGCATGGAGCCTGCTTCTCCTTGTCTGTGTCTCTCCTCTCTCTCGCTCTCTCTGAATGAATAAATAAATAAATCTTTTTAAAAAAATAAACGTACTAAGTCTTTAAAAAAAAAAAAAGATGAGGGAATTAAAACAAGGTTTTAAGTAACATGCCCAAGAAACAAACCCATGACTCTATCCAGTAAACATTCAGTACTTGTATGATTTCAGGTTAAGGTATAGACACAGACATCTTAGTGTAATGTGCCATTCCAATACTCAGTAAAGGCACGTATTAGCAGGTAAACAATTCAGTTTTGGATCCAGGTCTACACCCACAGTATCCTTTTAATTTTTTTGTTTTAAAGATTTTATTTATTTATCCATGAGAGACACAGAGAGAGGCAGAGACTGAGGCAGAGGGAGAAGCAGGCTCCCTGTGGAGAGCCTGATGTGGGACTCAATCCCCAGACTCCGGGATCACACCCTGAGCCAAAAAGCAGACAGACGCTCAACCGCTGGGCCACCCAAGCATCCCTCCTTTAATGTTTTTACAAGGCCATTTTGTCTTCTCAAATTCTATGTAGTTTTGTTTTTAATAAAGTCTATGAGAATCTCTGTATTTTTAAAAATATGTATTACAAGTATTCTAGAAACATTTACAAGTAATTATTTAAAAGCCAAAAGTCTAGAAAAACATTATACATACTTTACATAAAGACTCTCACCTTTAGTTCCATAACAAGTAAATGAGACTTACTAATAATGACAAGGTCTATGTCCAAAGGATTACAAAACCAAATCCACATCATTTTTTTACCTGATAGTCCCCAAAATAGAATATCTAATTATATGAAATGAAACTAAAATGGTCCCCAAGAATTAAAAAAAAAACCACAAAACTTGAACTCAAGGATCTACAATCAGAATAATTAATGCTCATGGTTTAATAAAGATATTTTTTAAGATGTGAAAAAACAAACTTTGTTCAAGTTTACTTATGTATGTTCTATTTGACTTTAAACTTTTAAATATCATTTATAGATACTCAGAGGTGGAGCAGCCACTTTATCCCACCTATATTGATATCTTTATGAAGACTTTATGGAATGTTTAGCAACAATAAAGTGGTACTTAAGGGAAGACTTAATAAGACTACACATTTTTTTTCTTTTTTTTTTAAATTTTTATTTACTTATGATAGTCACAGAGAGAGAGAGAGAGAGAGAGAGAGAGAGAGCAGAGACACATGCGGAGGGAGAAGCAGACTCCATGCACCGGGAGCCCGACGTGGGATTCGATCCCGGGTCTCCAGGATCGCGCCCGGGCCAAAGGCAGGCGCCAAACCTCTGCGCCACCCAGGGATCCCAAGACTACACATTTTAGCTCTTAAATAAACATGAAGAAAACAGCTCTATTTAAGTATACAGTAGGTGCCTTAAATTTTTAAATAAAATTTCCCATTCGTAAGGCACCTGGATGGCTCAGATAGTTAAGCATCTGCCTTTGGCTTAGGTCATGGTCATGAGGTCCTGGGTTGAGCCCTGTATCAGGTTCCCTACTAAGGAGCTTCTTCTCCTTCTCCTGCTCCCTTGCTTGTGCTAATAAATAAAATTGTTTTAAAAAATAATTAAAAATTTCCCATTAACAGTTTCTAACAAACTAATCTCTGAGAAGGCATGCCAAGCTACTGTTGAGTTGAGGTTAATAAAGTAAAGTAACTGTAAGCCCATGATTAACAAAAGGCTATTACCACGCGTAGAAAGCTTTTAAAATGACTTCTCACCACATATAGGAAAAAATATAAGAACATGGGTTTGGGTTAAAAAACTTCTATGATGTGGCCCACCTCTTTATTCTCATGTCCTTATGTCCTGCTCTGCTCAGGACAGTCTCTGCTCCAACTAGGTTCTTTCTAAAGTATATTTTTTGCATCTTTATTCCAAAAATCTCAGCTGTTAGAATCACCTCATTACTCTACTCTTTCTAAATCACTACTATTTATTCTTTACTACCTGCCTCCTCTGAACTCTTCCCCAATCCCTCTAGCCTACAATGACCTCTCCTGAACTTCTCCAACTACTTAACATCCAAGTTAACATTTGAAAATTCTCTTATTCTGACATCTGTGTATAATCATCTTTCTTTCCTCAGGCATGGCAAAATGGTGAGAGGGATGGGTGATGAGGAACAGGTTGGTGAGGGGAAACATTGATCAAAAAGTTAGGATTTCCAAAGTTCTAGACTCTGCTCTGAGGCTGTTTGAGGTTCTTAAACAAAGTCACTTAACCCTTTGTACAAATAAGGGTTAGATGTTCAATCTAAGATCTTTAATGACAAATGCTGTTTTTGAGAATTATTTGTATCTTCCATAGTGGCTTTGGATATCACTTTACATCAGAAGTACAAGAAAATTACAAATTTTTGGTTGATGTGATCTCAGAAGTGAAACCAAATACCATTCTTGACCAAAACCAGGGCTCCCAAGCTGGAAGATAAAGATGCAACAAATGACAGAGACGCGGTCAAGGAGGAAATCTGGGAGAATCTATCAAAAAATACATACATACATATATAAACAATTTTTTTTAATTTTGGAAAATTGCACATGGAACTTATAAAAATCTCTGTAGAGGGACCCCTGGGTGGCTCAGCAGTTGAGCATCTATGTTCAGCTCAGGTGGTGATCCCGGGGTCCTCAGATGGAGTCCCACATCGGGCTCCCTGCAGGGAGTCTGCTTCTCCCTCTGCCTATGTCTCTGCCTCTCTGTGTGTCTCTCAAGAGTAAACAAAATCTTAAAAAAAAGGATCTCTGTAGACTTCCACAAACCATTCTCACAATGCTTTATAATTCAATTAAATATTTGATGTCTACATAAATATCAGTCTTTCAGGCTTTTCATTCCAATATAATGTAACTCTACAAAGCACTCATACCCAAAACGTCATACTTACTGAGATCTCTACATTTAATAGTACTATATTCAAAAGAAATACAAAGGTAGTCGCATGCTTCTCTCAATTCAGGAATAGATATGCCATCAGGACAATGGATTATTCCTGTTTTGTAGTAATCCTATAAAAAAAGGGAAAAAATGCGTAAGTCTAGAGCATAAGGTGGCCAAAACCTTACTATTAAGGTTACGCTGGTAGCATTTTCAAAAACAGTGGAGCTCTGAGATTTCTGAACTGTGGACTTCTAAAGTTAGATGAGACCTCAGTTCACCTAACCACTTTTTCATTTTACTAATAAGAAAACTTTGGCTCAAATAGGTTCACTGACTTACCCAGTCATATAATTAGTTAATAGCAGAGGAAAGATTAGAACCCAGATCTTCTCATTACTGATATATTTCTTCTATCATGCCAATTCATATGTATTTTCCTTCTACAAGTTATTTTTCTATATAACTACCATCAAACTTTAAAACTTTTTTCAGGGTGCCTGGGTGGCTCAGTTGTTAAGTGTTTGCCTTTGATTCAGGTCATGATCCCAGGGTCCTGGGATGGAGTCCCATACTGGGCTCCTTGCTCAGCTGGGAGTCTGCTTCACCCTTCTCCCTCTCCTTCTGCCTGCCGCTCCCCTGTGCTGTCAAATAAACAAAATCTTAAAAACAAAACATTCTTAAGAAAGTTAAGTAATACATACTAAGGTACCTTAAACATTACCTCAAAGAATTAAGGAAAATTTATGGTTCTTGGTAAAGAACTTCAAAGTCATATCCAACCATTAAAATATGCAAACAGAACACACAATCAGATATTCTTCTTCCAACTAGTATTCTTTGGTGTATCCCATATTATGAACAATTAATAGTGCTTATTTCCAAAATCTACTTGAAAAATTATTAAGGGCTAGCCTGAAAATTACAGCTGGGTCACAAATTTTTTTTTTTACTTGTCAACTCCATTGGGTTGATTAAATGAAGTATGGCTAGCTGAAAAACCACTCCTTCCCTCTCCTCACAAAATAAGATCTGCCTCAAGCTTCTTGATGTTCAGAGCCACAGTAACACAATAAAGTTGCTATGCCAATAGAAGCAAGACATCTCAGAACTTTCCAAGTACTAACAACCCAATCAAGATCAACTTCTATTCCTATCTTGTACCTCAGGATCCTACCCCTACCCGCTTTCCTCAAAATTATTTAAGGAATAATTTTAACAATATTTTCAGACAGTGGCATAAAATGTCACACACTATAAATCAAATCTTTGTCACCGATTTGAAATTACAAGTAGGAACTCGATAATACTAATTCAAATATTCCTCAAAATAAAAGGTTAAAAACCTCAAAAAAGGTTTAGAAGATGCTAACAAATACATTTCAGAGATGACTTTTAAATGTTAACTGTCCACATTGCCAGTTATGTGCAATAAAATATTAGAGTTGAAGTAACCACATTTATTCTCAGCAAAAAAGAATCAACTTATTTAAGAGAACTAGGGAAGGAAGAGTAACACGACTCCAGAACTATTACCACTAAATCCTTTGAAAGAACTGCCTATTTATGCCTAAGAGATGAATCATCCCCCAACCTATATTTGTATCTGTATGTACTAAAATAAAAATGAATAAAATGGTAATTAGAAAACAATATTCTGCATAGAGATATTCAAACAGAATTCTGCTTTCAATCAACTACCTACTGAAAAGGGGCTCTAAGATTAAGTCAATGCAGGTAAGAAATAAGCACTCACCAGAATAGCTTGAAACACGGTGGAGCCAATTCCCTCCACTTCATACTCTCCCTTCTCATTGGGATGCGTAAAGTTATGTTCTCTGCCAGATCCAAACATCCTATGATATTAGTAAACAATTCAGAAATATAACAGGATACTTCCTTTGAAGTGAAAACTTATCTCATGGACAAAAGTAAAAAGGAATTACAATATATCAGTAAATTAGTTAAAATATTCTTATCAGCAATTTATTCAGCAAATGTAATAAATGAAGGAATATTAAAGATACTTCCTTTCTAATGGGAGGGAACAGGAATATAGATTCCCTACAAGCAAACAAAATCAGCTAATAATAAATTCAGAAGCTAAAGAACGTTTTTAGTCTTTTTTTTTTTTTTTTTTTTTACCCATTCATTCATGAAAGACACATAGAGAGAGAGGACACAGGCTGAGGGAGAAGCAGACTCCATGCGGGAGCCTGATGTGGGACTTGATCCAGGATCACGCCCTGGGTGGAAGGCAATCACTCAACTGCTGAGCCACCCAGGCAGGCATCCCTTTAGCCCTTTCTTCTCAGGGGAGGGGGAATGGGGAATCAATCAATCCAGGGGAAAAGGTGATTTTTATTCTAATCTTAATAAGAAAAAAAAAGGAAAAGGGAAGCCATGTTAACTGTGCCTCTTCCTTAAAACTGCTGCCTTCACTGCAAAGTTAATGCTATAGTGCAGCACACACAGTAAAGGAGTGTGTATCTTTTTAGATAGGCAGATTAGGTTATTTCATTTTTCACAATTTAAACTATTAAGTGGGGATGCCTGGGTGGCTCAGTGATCCTGGGGTCCTGGGATGGAGTCCCACATTGGGCTCCCTGTGGGGAGCCTACTTCTCTCTCTGCCTGTGTCTCTGACTCTCTGTGTGTCTCTCATGAATAAATTTTTTTAAAAATCTTTAAAAATAAACTATAAGTGTAAGAAACAGCACTCAAAATTCTTACACCTGCATCCTAAAACTGAAAAATAAGCAATCAAATGCTTAAGTAAAGAAGAATGAGGAAGTTAAGAGATGAATCAAAAGTTTAAACAAATGAGTAAAAAGTCTTTAATATTAATTTTTACATAAGAAAATACAGATTTTGGGGGCACCTGGGTGGCTTAGTCAGTTAAGCATCTGTCTTTCACTCAGGTCATGATCCCAGGGTCCTGGGATCGAGCATCACATAAGGCTCCCTGTTCACCAGGGAATCAATCTGCTTCTCCCTCTCCATCTGATGCTCTCCCTGCATGTTCTCTAATAAAATCCTTAAAAAAAAAAAGAAAAGAAAAGAAAAGAAAAAAGAAAAGAAAGAAAGAAAGAAAGAAAGAAAGAAAGAAAGAAAGAAAGAAAGAAAGAAAAAGAAAGATTTCTATTTTTTTAAGTAATGTTCTTGGCCCTTTAATAGTAACCATTTTGAAAAGAGACAAGTTACAGAATAGGTTCTTCAAAATCAAAAAAGTTTAATGAATTACGTTCAAGACAACTTGAAAATTGTGGTTAAAGCAAGCTGAATCTCAGAATTAAATGATACCATCATTCCTAAGTATTCTACTCAACAATTTCCCAATTTAAATGGTTTTTCTAAAAAAAATGGTTTTTCTTTTGTTGGTAACACAGAAATCTATAAAGAACAAAGCTTTTTTTTTCATTTCAAAGTTTCCAAAAGAATATCAACTACTTTTTACAGTTCCCATGAATATTAATTTTCATCCCCAAAGATATGCTTTTACTCAACTGGCATGAAAAGATGATTTCACTGATTTAAAAAAAAAAAAAAAAGGGGGGGGGATGACAGTCTTTCAGGAACCAAATGTCATGCAATTTTCTCAAATACCTGAAATTTTTTGATAAAATACGGAGAATGCTAGGCTTTTTTTCGATCAATATGGATATATACAAACACAAATCTTTTGGGCTTTGTTTTGTTTTCCTTTAAAGAAAACATAGCCTAACAAATGAAGCAAAATTTCAAACATCAACTTTTTAACTGTGTTTCTTTAAAATTTAGATAAAAATTAGAAGTATTCATAATGTCAAGTCCTCCTCCTGACACCTTCCATCAATAATCTTCCTCTGTGCTACTAAAAATACATAAAAGCCATACTTACTTGTTTGCCTCGGATGTAAAGTCTAACAGCTAATGTTCAAAGGAATACTTATTCAAAATGTTATGCTGTTTATGTAAGCTTTTATTCTGTATGTAGAAATACTGAGTAATCACAAGTGTACACACAGGCATCCAAAAAAGTTACTCATATGCAATGTAGGGAAAAAAAATCACAATTTTGTTTTTACATCCTATAAACTTCTATTTCATTCTATGCTCTATTTTATATTAAGAGTGAACCAAAAAAGATAATTTTACATTGAAAAGGTATTTGATCCTAGTTCTGAACACGCTGAAAAATCAAGTCTATATTGCCTGTATCATTCTTAAGACTGCAGCTCCCACGACTATAAACTTTACATTAACATTTACTCTGGACCAGCAGAAATTAGAATATGACTACAACTATCTCTCCTTCATTCTATTAACTACTTGTTAAGAACATTCCTTTTTAAAGTATCTATGTCAAACTAACAACTCTGCTGACTTTTCAGCTAACCAAACTTTTTTCTTTAAACAATGCTGCTATATTCGGTGGTTGAATTTAGGAGCCCCCAAGTGAAGAAAGCATATTATTACTGCTATATTCACCTTGTTAGATACAATTTAAGGTTTCAACCTGTGGAGATCATTTAGGACCCTATCTTCATTAACTAATATATTTGTTTTTCCTGCTGATACAGCAAATATTGTTAGAAATAAAACCAAGTTCAAGATCTGGCTCTACCATTTTATGGCTGTATTAACTTGAGCAAGTTATATTTAACCTCCAAAGTTCAGTTCACCTGTAAAACAGGAATACTACAATCCAACAAAGAGTTACTCTAAAACTTAAATAATGTGCAAGTGCTTTAGAATTTAATGCAAAGAACTGCAATTATACAAACCTGCCCAACATTGTATTTGGCTGTGCAGTAAAAATGGATGGGTCTACAACGAATCTAGTATTATCCACTCTTAGCGTTACTCGTTCCGACGTTCTTACATTCCGAGCTCCTTCTTTTGCATTTTCATATACAAACACCATCTCTCCAGATGTCTTACAACTACCATCAGAACTTGACTGACTACTGTTTCTGCTGCTGTTCCCAGCACTGCTACTGGAACCATTTGGAGATGTCTTTTGAGGACGAGGACTGCTTGGACGAGAGGAAATGTGATCTTTTTCTCGTTCTGAAATTAAGATGTTAAAGTTATGCAAATTTTCCTTTTAAAAATTTCAAGATCCATATATAACTTTTTAAAATTCCGATGTAGAAAAGTTGTTTCAAATTATAGCATTTCTGGGTGCCTGAGTCGCTCAGTCAGTTAAGCGTCTGCCTTCAGTTCCGGTCATGATCTTATTAGGGTCCCGGGACACAGCCCCATTCCAGGCTCTCTGCTCAGAAAGCCTGCTTCTCCCTCTTCCTCTGCCCTTCCCTCTGCCCCACCCCTTGTACTCTCTCCCTCTCAAAGAAATAAAAATAAATAAATCACAGCACTTCTGCTTTTTGATTTCAAAGTAACATTTTCACAGAACACCATAGATATTATTTCCCAGGAATAAGACCTAGAAGTCAAAATGTTTTCTAAATTAATTTTTGTACATTTTTAAAAGATGTATAACTAATGCTTAAACAGACTAATATCAAAATTAAATTTTATGTTATTACTCTATTTAAAAATATATGAAACCCAAGGAACAGAATAGTCTTACAAGTCAAATAAGCACTGAGTTAGTAAAAGATTAATAAAAATGCCAACTTTAACTGTCCTAAATACTAGAAGTATTAGTAATACCCTGAGAACACAAAAGTACATACTTTGGACTCTCACTATGTTAATGAGGCCATCCCTAAACTAGTAATTTATCTCACAAAAGCAAGATCCCAAAGGAAGAAAAAATGGTCACTAAGGACACAAGGAATATTTATTCTTTGAAATGACATTTTATTTACTTATTTTGAGAGAGAGAGCAAGAGAGAGAGAGAGTACAAGCAAGGGGAGCAGCAAAGGGAGAGGCAGATGCAGGATGAGGGAGAGGGAGAAGCAGGTTTATTTATTTGAGAGAGGGAGAGAAAGAGAGAGAGAGAGAGAGAGAGAGAGAGAGAGAGAGAGAGAGAGAGCATGAGTGGCAGGAGGAAAGGGAGAGGGAGAGGGAGAAGCAGGCTTCTTGATGAGCAGAGACTGGATGTGGGGCTTGATCCCAGGACCCTGAGATCAGGACCTGAGCTGAAGGCAAACACTTAACTGACTGAGCCACCCAGGTGCCCCCAAATGATTTTTAATGTCTACCAAATAAATAAAACGCTTCAACAGCTGATGATATACTGCTTTCTTTTCAATCTCACTTTTGTTGGAATAAAAGCACTGTCACAAATTCTAGAGGATCATATAATTACTATATATAATTTTAATTAGGTAGGAAATATTGTTAAAATTCAGAAGATTTTTTTTTGGCTGTTCCAATATTCTACAAAGGGAGAATTAAAACTAAGATTCTGTGATAAGTTCCCTTTAGAGGCTAGGTAGCTACACTTTAAATGTGACCTAAAAATGTACCTCCTCTCATCAGATTCATCAGCTTCTGCCAAATTCCTCCATGACTCAGGCTACTCAGAACACTCTGTACAGCTTTACTGATTATATAATTAGGTTTGCTATATCTCCAGAGATATTCTGACACCTCCATTTTATTGCCTGTTTCCAGAATGCTGGTAGCATCCCAAAAGCAAAATCTGCTGAATTAATAAAATCATTTATTATATCTTCCTATTCTCTTCCCAGGGACTGAACTTAGCATATAACAAACTGTCAATTCCTATTTGTATTCACATGGATTTTTGGCTAATCAGTACTAGTTTGACGTTGAGGACTTAAAAACTGACAACTTCTCTGTATAATTAAGCCCTAAGATGAATTATTTTGATGTATAACAATCAAAAACAACTTCAAATAAAATATTAAATTTGCCCCTTCTCCAAGAGCAAATGAAATTGAACAAGGTCACATTGCTTATGTACCACTGCTTCAGACTGGTACTTTTCAGTCAAACAATTTACTTACTTGAAATATAATAATGTTCATTTATAATAAATCAGTGGGAAGGAAGAAAAGACCTGAGCTACTTGCCAAGAAAACAACACCTCACACCTTCCTTTTTATCTTCTATTTCTTAAATTAAAAATATTGTCAAAACTCAAAATAAATTACATGGTTATGCTAGCTTTCACTTCCTTTTCTAGCACAAATTAACCAAGAATTCCGATCAATAGTATACTACAAATTTTAAAAAATAAACTGCTTATGTATCACATAAGATAAAAATCATTTTGAAAGATTTAGGGGCTACTGAGTGGCTCAGCTGGTGAAGTGTCTGCCTTCTGCTCAGGTCAAGATCCCAGAGTCCCAGGATGGAGCCCCACACTGGGAACCCTGCTCAGTGGGGAGCCTGCTTCTTCCTCTCCCTCTCTCTCTGCCACTCAATGTTCTCTCTCTCAAATAAATATTTTGAGAAATTACAAAATAAAAAATAAAAAAATTTTTAAAATCTCGTGTCACAGTTTTAAAGGCTTCTCAAATTCTTTTATGAAACTGTCCTAGAACCTTAAAAAATTCTCTAACTTTCATTTAATAAGTTAATTTTTTATAGCAAGAATGAAGCTAAGCTAAAATAGAAGAAACTGAATAGAAGTAAGAAGTTAATTCTATTCTGAAGTACTAGGCAAAATTCACAGTCATTACTGTTTTCAAAAGGTAATTGCATGCTTTTAAAAACTGTCAGGAAGATTAGCTGATTTTACATACCAACGTGGTGCTGTCGTGTTGGAGAAGTAACATTTCTAATACAAGGAGTGAGCTGAGATTCTGTTCTTTCATGCGATGAATCTCGTGATCTGTCACTTGACCTTCGTCTGTCTCTTGATCGTTCATGTCCCCCGCTAGCACCATGAAGACTCATTTTGGTGTGGTCAACAATTCCTTTAGCAACACGTGAGGGGGTGCTGGTAAGTCAGAAGAGAAAATTAACCATAAAAGTAGAACATGAGATCACAAATGCTTTTAAAGAAAAACATAATTACCTATTTTGAAATTTAAGAATCAAATGCTACTTTACAATTCTGAGTAATTACCTTAAACGTGTAGGTTTTACAAATGCTAGAACACAGTATCTTTAAAGATCACCTAATCTAACTCTTTAAGAACGAGAAAACTAAAGCCCAGAAATGTTAATTAACTTTTGCATTAGTAGTAGTATAGCAGTAGTAGTAGTAGAGACCACTCAGATCTCCTAAATATTTTTCAAATATTTTGCTCTCTTTGATAGGGGTACAGGGAGGGCGGCAGAGAGAAAGAACATGAGCTTCCAGAACTTTTAAAAAATGAGCTATGAGGCAAAGTAACTGGTCTACTTGCCAAATAAAATAAGTCTTCATGTTTACTTTAATCAACTCATTTTGACTGAACTCCTTTCAAATTTTTTGAAAAAAAATATTTTTTGAAAAGTATTTCTCTAAAAAGCTTAACTAATCGTGCTGTGTAAAGTTACAGAATTTAAAATTTTAAAACCTCTTATATAAATTTGCTCAGGAGAAGTGAATAACTGAGAATGATGATTAACTAGTCTAGTTGACAGAATTAAGACACAATTGTTTATAAAGTCATATATATATGTACTATATGTACAATGCAATAGAGAAGCTCCCTCAAGGAATTTCTATGCATCAGTATCAGTAATACATGTGCATTAGTAAATGCATGAATATGTAGAAACAAACAATTCAAGTTATCCTAAATTTCAAATATAAAATGGCTAAATAGGTCTCAAATACATAACTAATAATAAATGAGCCATAGATAATAAATGCTTTAAGATCTCAGAGTAGGGATCCCTGGGTGGTGCAGCCATTTGGCGCCTGCCTTTGGCCCAGGGCGCGATCCTGGAGACCAGGGATCGAATCCCACATCGGGCTCCCGGTGCATGGAGCCTGCTTCTCCCCCTGCTTGTTGTCTCTGCCTCTCTCTCTCTCTCTCTGTGACTATCATAAATTAAAAAAAAAAAAAAAAATCTCAGAGAAGACGACATCACTGTAGACTCTCGAATTAATCAATGATGATGAACCAAGTGCTGCCAAACAGATAAGGTTTTAATAATCAAAATACATTGCAGGTAGGAAAACTGACAGGAACAAAAATGAGAGTGCCAGACCTAATACATTTGGAAATTTACCATCTTAGCATATACCATGGTGCATGGTTTAAAAATACTGAAGTGTTTTTTATAAGTAGAAACAGAAGAAACCTCAAGGCTTTAGAAAAATACAGAAATACATATTGTACTTTAGTACTTAATTGTTCAACAAGTTGAATATTACTTAACATTTTGGAACCTTAGTTTTACCTCATCTGTAAAATAAAGGTTCCATTTACTTTGTAAGGTTAATATGAGGATTAAACCAAGATGTATGCTAATCGACAAAGTACCCAGCAGTACAGAATCACCCACTAAATCCTAGTTTATTTAGTTATGACAGATGAACATATTAAAGTTCAATTAGAAGACTGCTCAGAGTCACACAGTATTTAGTGGATATGCTAATAACACTGTAGGTAAAGACTCCTGATTCATTCCAGTGCCCCCTCCATCACTGAAACCCACACTAGTTAAAAATTAAATCTTCTTGATTCAATTTTAAATTCCATAGTGCTTCTGGGTCAATTCCTCTTTTGGCTTATTATCTACAATTCTTTGTTATTCTAATGTTTCCTTTCATTATGAAAATCAGTCATCCCCTCATTATAACGGGACTACAAAGGTAAAAGATAAGGCTAACTTTGTATTTACCCTGAGTTACTTCCAGAGATATAAAGGCAAGGCTAACTTTGTATTTACCCTATGAGTTACTTCCAGAGAAATAAAGGCAATCTATTAACCTTTATCACCTATTTGTCTTTCGTGAACCTACAGAGAAAAAAAAAATTTACTCCCACCTTCTTTCTAACGAAAAAGATCTGAACAGGATTACATCCTTGGAACACAATTTTTTTCTTCAAATAGAAAAGATCCTACTCCATTTATGTTAAAATCATCAGAGAAGAAACAACAGAATTTCTGGTTTGTGTCCTAAAAGTAGGAAAAAGAAGGCAATCTACACCAATAGAAAAAGGATTACATTATATATTGAAAAACATAACTCCTCCAATTATTCTAGCTCTAAAGTTTTAAATGAGCTTAAATATGAGTCTGTTAATCTAATGGACAAGGTATAAACACAACTACAACTAAGACATATGCAAGACAAATGTTCGGTTTGAGTAAGGACCAAGGAGACTGATTAATTGAAATAATGTTTCCACTGGACATTTTATAACTGAAACATTAAATACTTCCAAGCATTCATTCTGCTAAAATATTAGCTTCAGTTCTAAACTGTTTAGATTTTAAATAAATGCATTCTTCCATTCTTTCTTTTCATTCCCAAATGGAATACACGTTGAAACAGACCTTCAAAATCAGATGTCATGGAAGACTAATTACGTCCTACTTTATTTAATTAAATAATTTTAGATCAGAAAAGTAATCTAAGGGCAAAAATAATATGTGTAAAAGAAAATGAGGACAAGCAAGTTCAGTGGAGGTAAGTCTGCTTCATTTAAAAGAGTTGGGTATCCATGAACTGATGACAGGTAAGGAGATGACGATTACATCAGCCCCAACATCTATTTCTAGTCAAGAAAGAGTAACAAGGACTGAATTTTCTTTCCTATCTGGAAACAAACAAACAAACAAACACGGCAAAATACATAAAACAGCGGTTTGCAAGACACAGTAAGTAAGAAAGAGAGTGAACCCTAAAAGATGAAAAACAAATGAGATAAATCCAACAATTGCTCCAAATTACTATCTTAAGAGAGTTTCCAGAGTAAACAGGGAGGTGAAACACAAGCAGAGAACCTAGTAGACTCAGGTAAGGATACGGAACTCAAGAGCTTGGGAACAATAGGTGGCTAGAGTTCTTAAGAAAGAGTACTAGAGAGGGGAGAGCAGAACAAAGAGAAATCCTCAGAGATCTGCAGTCTTTGTGGAATACTGAGCTGAGTACCAATCAGCAAACACCTAATGCTGGGTAAAGAACCAATTTAAAGGATTAGAAAATACAGTCACCAGGACTCATAAAGGGCCTATTTCCCTTAGGCAGGCCAGAAAACCTCATTCATAGAGTAGTGGAAGAATCTAGAGGGTCTTAGCTTTGAAATGGAAATTAGACCTAGACTGGGTACTGAGGTAGTCACATTTAACAAATCTTAACAGCAAGACCTAAAAGAATCAAACTGTTTCCACATAACTAAATTGAATCCTAAAACAAAGCTCAAGAATATTTACAGAAAAGCAAAAAAATTTCCAGTACCCAAAGTAAAATTCACAATGTATGGCATCCAATAAAAAATTATGAGGCATGTAAGTAAGTAGAAAAACATAACTTGTAAGAGAAAAAACTCAGTCAAAATCAACTTGGAACTGACATGTCTCAGAAACAAAGACATTAAAACAGTTATTATAATCATATTCCTGCAAAAGGTTATGTAGAAATAAAGAAGATAAAGACGCAGAGCAAACTTCCAGACATAAAAATGATATCTAAGATGAAAAATAGACTGAATGGAATTAATGGAAGATTACACATTATAGAAGAAAATTGTGAATTTGAAGACACAGCAAGAAGAAATATCCAAAATAAATATAGTATTCGTTATAAAAAAATAAATGGAGCATGAGTGAGCTACAGGTCAATTTCAAATGCCCTAATATAAGTATAAATGGAGTCCATAAAAGAAGGTAGAGAAAATTAAAAAATATTTTAATCACATCTTGAAACGTAATAAGAACTATAACGTTGCACATGTAACACACACAACAAATCCTAAACACATTTTGAGAAAAAAATAAAACACAAAACAAATTTTAAAAACCCTGAGAACCTATATTTGTTATGTCTAGTAGAAACACCCTTCAAAAATAAAGGGGGAAATGCATTTTCAGACACACACACACACACACACACACACAAAGATGAATGAATTCATCATGAGCAGACCTGCACTACAAGAGTTATAGGAAGGCCTTCAGTCAGAAGAAAAAACCCAACATAATAAAAAATTTGTAGAATGGCATGACATTACAACAGTAGTTTGGGGGGCAAATTATGGCATTAAATGCCTATGTTAGAAAAAAGAAAGTTCTAAAAAAAAAAAGTTACTTCAGTTTTCACCTTAAGAAACTAAACAAAGACTAAATTAAACCCAAAGTGGAAAAAATTAGTACCAAAGACCAAAGTAGAAATCAAAATAGAAAAAGAATGGGGGGGGAATCAATGAAAACAAAACCTAGTTCCTTGAAAAAAAAACAATTAAATTTATAAACCTACAGCCAGACTGGGGGAAAAATTGAAAAGATACAAATTCCAATATCAGAAATGAAAATGTTGGCATCACTACAAAGGTCACCTACATTAAAAAGAGTAATAGAAGAGTATCATAAACAACTTTATATAAGTTCATCAACTCAGAAAAACTGAACAAATTCCAAGCTACCAAAACTTAAGAAGAAACAGATAAAGTGAATAGCTCTATTTTTCTTTTAAAGATTTTTATTTATTTGAGAGAGTAAGAGAGCACATAGTCAAACCCAAGGCTCCATCCCAAGACCACAAGATCAATACCTGAGCGGAAGTCAGATGCCTAACTGACCTAGCAACCCAGGCACCCCTGAATAGATCTATTTCTATTAAAGAAATTGAATTTGTAGTTAAGAATTTTCCCTCTAAGAAAACTCCAGGCCCATATGGCTTTACTAATTTAGTCCCCCAAGTACATAAGAGACATATAATACCAATTCTACATAAACTCCTTGAAGAAAATTGAAGAAAACATGGGATGCCTGGGGTGGCTCAGTGGTTGATTGTCTGCCTTTGGCTCAGGGTGTGATCCCGGATCCTGGGATCGAGTCTCCCATCAGGTTCCCCACAGGGAGCCTGCTTCTCCCTCTGCCTATGTCCCTGTGTCCCCTCTCTCTGTCTCTCTCATGAGTAAATAAATAAAATCTTAAAAAAAAGATAAGATTATGCTAGGGGCACCTGGCTGGCTCAGTCG